AGTAACAATTGTTTCACTTACAACCACTTGTACTAGTTAACCAGTTTTTTTAAACTTTTTCCTTTTATCAGAGTAATATACTTACAGATTTTAAAATTCAAATAGTATTTCTAGATTTATAAGAAAAGATAGCCCTGGCTGTTTTGCTCAGTGGTTAGAGCATTGACCTGTGGACCAAGGGTTGGATTCCCATTCAAGGGTTGCAGGTTCGATCCTAGCCCAGGTTGGGGTCGTGTGGGAGGCAACCAATCTTTGTGTCTCTCTCACATAGATATTTTTTTCTCTCTCTCTCCCCCTCCCTCCCTCCCACTGTTATCTAAATTTAATGAAAAAAATATCCTCAAGTGGGGATTAACAACAAAAAAATATAATAAAATATAAAGGAAAAAATAGCAATTTCCCACACCACACATTCCCCCCCAGAGTCCCTCCTCTACGTTTAACTCCTCAGTTCCTGCAGTGATGTCTTTCTCTTTCGGTTGTGTGCATTGTCTGTGGACATCCTGAGCTAGCAGGTGGGGATTCAACCCCACCCCCCACTTTCTAGACACTGTGGGGGTCCAAGGAAATCACTTTCCTCCCATCTTCTAAGTTCTTCTAGCCGGGGTAACAGTCAAATGAACAAGAAACAGATCAACATGAAGAGAAAATGTCCAAAATTTATTACGGATGACATGTGGGGGTAACATAAGAACATGAGACCTGAAGACCCATCGGGTACAAAGGGGGAGGCAGGGGTATGGAATTTCAAAGGGAAAGCAGGTAATTCACAGGTAGAGGAGAAAGCTAACAAGCAGTAAACAAGTTCTTTCTCAGGGTCACCAGAAACAGTGGGGCGCAGAGGGGCTCAAACACCAGGCTTTGCTGTGGGCCACACTTAGTTTACATTCGGGTGCTGAGGGGATGCTCTCTTCTTCTGAGGTTTTTCTACCTGGATTCCTTTAGGCAGCTAAGGGGAGGGTCCAAGGTTCTTTCTGAGTCTTTTGTTTCTTAATAAACAGCTTTAAAACAACATCCCAAAAAGCATATTTGGGGGCGGCAAAACTTTGGTCACCCTCAACACACGTTTATGAATACATATAAATACATCTCCCATTTCTCAAAAATAGTTCTAGCATCCTTTTGATTAAGTCACCATTCACTATTTACCTTATTAAAATTGTGTAATCATTATTAATAGCTGAGGCACATGCTACTTATTGCCACCAAACTCGACAGGTCTTCTAGAATGTCCAAACACATCATACTTTTCCTGGAGCTATGTCTCCACCGCCTTCTGCTGCTCTCTCGGTGGTCCTCAGCCTTCACCTGGGAATTGGATTCCTACTCTCCAGGTCCCCAGCATTCTTTTTTTATCCTCACCCGAGAATATTTTTTCCATTTTTTGTTCAGATAGAGTGGGAGGGAGAGAGAGGAAAAGAGAGAGAGAGAGAGAGAGAGAAACATCGACGTGAAAGGGACACATCGAGTGGCTGCCACCCACATGACCAACCAGGGCCAGGGACATACTGCAACCGAGGTACGTGCCCTTAGCGGGAACAGAACCGGGGTCTCTCTGGACCACAGGCCAACGCTCTTAATTGCTGAGCTAAACTGGCCAGGGCCATTACTCTTTTTTGACTTTGTAATTTTGGAGTATACCTTCCTGCTTGTGGCTCAAATGAAGTATTTGGTAGGTAAAAAATTTTTTATTGATTTTTTTTAGAGAGAGAGATGGAAACATCCATGTGAGAAAGAAATACGGATGGCTGCCTCCTTCATGCCCCCTACTGGGGATCAAGCTCAACCCTAACCAGCAACCCCAGCAGGTGCCGGATGCGGAGTCCAACCTGGACCCCTCAGTCCATGGGACAACACTCAGTCCACTGAACCACACTGGCCCGATGGCAGATAAAATTTTTGAGCTGCATATCTGAAAATATCTTTATTCTACCCTCACATTTAACTAATATTGTCATGGAGAGTAGAATTTCATGTTAAACAAATTTCTTCAGAATTTTGAAATAAATACTCCATTGCATTTCAGCTTCCTGAGATTCTGCTGAAAAGAATGCTTTCTGATTTCCAATACCTTAAATGTGACCCTTTTATTGTTTTCTTATGTAAACGTTTTAAGATTTTTTTCTTTATCACAGAAATTTTGTGATGCTATGCCTTAGTGTGCCCTTTCCATATGAGAATGTATCTTTGGGTCTGGGAAGTTTTCTTGAATTCTTTCTTTTTTTAATTGATTTTTTAGAGAGAGAGGAAGGGAGAGGGAGAGAGAAACACTGATGAAAGAGAACATCAATTGGCCACCTCCTGCGTGCCCCCCACCAGAGACTTGGCCCACAACCCGGGCATGTGCCCTGACTGGGAATCAAACCGGCGACCACTTGGTGCAGGGTCGACGACCCTCAACCACTGAGCCACACTGGCCCGGCTTGAATTGTTTCTTGAGTAATTTCCTCCTCACTTTCTCTGTTCTCTTTCCTGTAATTGCTATTTTTGGATGCTGAACTTCTTAATCTTCTAGCTTTTTATGTCTTCTCTTTTCCCATGTCTTTTTTTGTCTTATTACCTGAGAGATATCAAATTTATCTTTTTAAAATCAATTTTTACATTTAAGTTACTACTTTCTGAATTCTCAAGAGCTCTTTCTTATTTTTGGAGTGCTTTTTTTTATATGGATGTAATATCTTCAGGGACTGTAGACAATTAAGTTTCTTATAGCATTTTTTTCTTGTACTAGTTTCTGGTTTTTTTTTTCTTTTGGTCTTCCTCAAATGTCTGTTGATCCAAGTCATCTGTATATATATATTTTTATCCTCACCCGACATTTTTTACATTTTTTGTTCAGATAGAGTGGGAGGAAGAGAGAGAGAGAAACATCGACGTGAAAGGGACACATCGAGTGGCTGCCACCCACACGACCAACCAGGGCCGGGGACAAACTGCAACGGAGGTACATGCCCTTAGCGGAACCGAACCGGATCTTTCTGGACCGCAGGCCGACGCTCTAACCGCTGAGCGGAACCGGCCAGGTGTGTGTATTAGGAGCGGAGCCCAAGGCTTCGGAGGCTGGCGGGGTGGATGGGGACTGCCCAGTGGTAGGACTCACATAAGCAATGAGGGGGGCTCTGGGCAACCTGCCTCCGGCCCCGCTGTCTGCGAGCGGGAACCTCCTGCTCCCGAGACCTGCGCCCCTGGCTCCTCCCTCAACCACCGGGATCCCTGCTCCCTTCCCTTTCCTGGCTGTGTGCCTGAAAGTCCCTCTTCCGATCCTTCCCTCCTTCCAGGCTCAGCCACACCCAGGCCCGAGCCACCTCCACCACGCACGACCCAGCTTCCTCGACTCGGCTTGTTTCCTGAACGCGTCTCCGCGGCCCCTCGCGCTCGGGGCGGCCCGCGGCGGCGGCGGCGGCGGCGCCCGGTGTCTGTCCGCCGCGAAGACTGTGAGCACCGGCAGGGACGCCCCGGGACTGCGGCCGGGCCTCCCGTGACCCTGAGTCACGTCCCCTCGGGCTCCGGGGCCGGGCCGCCCGCCTGCGGCCTCCGCAGGGGCAGCGCGCGGTCCCCGGGGCTCGCTGTGCCGAGACGCGGGGCCAGGAGCGGGGGCGAGAGGCGCCCTAACCTGGCTTGTCGACACTTTTCTTAAAAATGAAGGAGGCGGGTTTCGAGGCGCCTTTCTGCCCGCGGGACGTGCCCTCGGCCGCAGAGGACAGGGTGTCGCTGCCGGCGAAGCGCGGACCTGACGCGAAGGCCGCCTGAGCTCCGGGTCCACGCAGCTCGTCCCGAAGGCGGAACGAGGCCGAGGCCCGCGGCGGGTCCGCACTCCGTCCGCCGGGCGACGCGCGGCAGGACCCGGGGCCGCCCAGCTCGGGGCCCGGCCCGTCACCGGCCCCCAGCCCGCCGGCAGCGGCCGCCGCCCAGAGCCCGGCCACGCTCCCGCGGAACCGCCCGCCCCACGCTCCACGCCGCAGCCAGGACCGCGGACCCGCGGGAAGGGGCGGGCCCACCAGCGCCCACGAGAGCGGACCGCGGAAGCCGAGCTCGGTCGCGCCGCGCGGTTTCCCAGGCAACGGGCGCGGCGCCTGCGCACCTCGCTGCTCCGGCGCCTCGGCCCCGCCCCTCGAGCGGGGTGGTCCCTGGGGCGGAAGCGCCCGAGCGGAAGTGAAAGTGCGCGGGCGGCTGCGGCGGGACTGAGGGCCCCTGGGGGCGTCGCGGCGGTGCTGGCGCGTCTCCAGGTAGGGCCGGCCCTCCGGGCGCTGCGCTCGCGGTTCTGCCGTCGCGGCCGCTCCTGCGTGCGCCCGGGGCGTGCTCGGGCCCTGCCGCCCCCTCGGGCCCTGTCCGCCCCCTGTCCCCGCGCCCCCTCGGGCCCTGTCCGCCCCCTGTCCCCGCGCCCCCTCGGGCCCTGTCCCCGCGCCCCCTCGGGCCCTGTCCCCGCGCCCCCTCGGGCCCTGTCCGCCCCCTGTCCCCGCGCCCCCTCGGGCCCTGTCCGCCCCCTGTCCCCCCATCCCCTCGGGCCCTGCCCGCCCCCTGTCCCCGCGCCCCCTCGGGCCCTGTCCGCCCCCTGTCCCCGCGCCCCCTCGGACCCTGTCCCCGCGCCCCCTCGGACCCTACCCGCCCCCTGTCCCTGCGGGCCCTGCCGCCATTCTCTGCGCCTTCTCCCCGTGTGCCCGGGGTTCTCGGCGGCCGTGGCCGTGGCCGTGGCCGTCCCGCACGGCCACATTGCGTGCGCCTCCCAGGCACAGGAGGGGACTCGTGCTGAAGGCAGACTGGGCACGTCCCCGAGGCCTCCTTGCAGGGACGGGTCCGCGTGGGGAAGGAAGGGGAAGAGCGTGCTCACGAAGCAGCGGGCCCCTGGGGGCCAGGTGCACCAGGACGTGGCTGCTGCGCGGCCGCAGGGCTGTCGAGGCTTGTGCAGCCGTTTTCCGCATTGTCTGCTTAGACTTTTTATGTTTTATTTTTTTGGCTTTTTATTTTTTAGTATTTCTGTCCGTTTGGTTCTCCCAGGTCAGCGTTCAGCGTTGCTGCTGCCGGGCGTAGCTGTCTCGGTGCCCTTCCCACACTCTTCTCTACTGTGGGCTTAGCAGCGGGTGTTAGATGGTAAGTCAGACCCCAGGGAGTCTCCGATGGACCCGTTTAGCCTTAACTCGGGACTAAATTTCAGACTGGATTCTTATCCTGAGTTCTGGGTAAATGAGGCATCATGCTCATGGGGCTGCACACATTTTCCTCTTCTGTGACAGGGTTGCGTTTCATTGTTGACAGTTCAAGGGTATTGATGCGCGGCGGTGGGGGAGAGCCCCAGGGGCCCGCATCTGGGCTGCCCCTGGGGTCCTGATCATTCTGTTAGGGCCCCAGGGACTGGGAGAACCTCCAGGAAGGACAGCTCTCTGGACTCAGATGCACAGCGTTAGGTGGGGGTGTGTCCTGCTGAAGGGGCACAGGCTTTGGCGGCAGATGGTGCCGCCCCAGCTCTGCGGTTGCTGCGGGACCTCGGCAGGTGCCTCACGCAGCGCACACTGCGGGCGCTGCCTGTGCCCGCAGAGCAGAGCTGGTCACTGCCACAGGGCCTGGAGGGGGCGTCTGCTGTGGGGCTTTCTGATGTAAAAAGTAGCCATGTTCTTTGCAGGAAAGTCATAGAACAAAGAAACGTTAAGAAAAAAAAACTTTTTTCTTTATTGGTTTTAGAGAGAGAGGAAGGGAGAGAGAGATAGAAACATCCATGAGAGAGAACATCGATTACCTGCCTCCTGCATGCCCCCCACTGGGGATCAGGCCCGCAACCTGGGCACGTGCCCTGACTGGAGACCACTTGGTGCATGAGTTGATGCTCAGCCACTGAGCTACACCAGTGGGGCCAAAGAAACATTTTTATTTATTTATTTATTTTTATTTTTTATCCTCACCCAAGGACATTTTTTGATATTCTATTCAGATAGAGTGGGAGGGAGGGAGAGAGAGAGAAAAATCGACGTGAAAGGGACACATCGAGTAGTTGCCACCCGCACAACCCAACCAGGGCTGGGGACAAACTGCAACCGAGGCACGCACCCTCAGCGGGAACCGAACCCAGGTCTCTTGGGACCATAGGCTGACGCTCTAACCGCTGAGCCAAACTGGCCAGGGCCAAAGAAACATTTTAAGTGTACAGTTTCATGCATTTTGATGTATGTACACACACCCATGTTTCTTCTTTGCCGAATGATCCTGAGCCTTGGCGCCCTCCTCAGAGATCCAGACCTTAGGACGCAGTCCTGCTCCTGCTGTGTCCACAGCTGCTGCGCAGGGCCCGGAGCACAGCGCACTCTGGGCGCGTCTTCACTGAGCACGTGTGGGAGTGGGGCTCTCACACTTGGGTTTGTCTGGGAGACCAGAAGACACTCTCTCTACATCCTTAGTGTTTTGTGGTAGGAAATAGGGTTCTGTGTCCCTCTCGTCTTGGGGATCCAAGAGGGAGGGTGTGGGATTTTGGGCAGCCAGGACAACCAGCATCCACAATAGCCCCCCATTTGTCTCCACTGCTGCCTCCCCTCTATGAGGTAGGCAGGGTGCCGTTTCTAAAATGCTTTTGCTTGACTGTCCTGTGACTTTCCTGCAGACAAGGTACGAGCCTGGCCCACAGCCCCTCCGCTGCCTGGTGCTGCCCTCTGCGGCCTGGGCTCACTTCTCGCCTTGCAGCAGAGGCTCTGGCCATGCTTGGCATTTGCGGTTATTTTTTCCATTTTCCATGTTTGAGGAACACACTTATAAATGAAGTTGCAGGTTAAACTACTTAATAGAACAGAAGTTTTAAGCATCTTAGAAACATCCATTTCATAATAAAAAAGACACCTTGTGGACTTACTACTCTTCCTTCAGGACTCCCGTCTGCCAGGTGTCCCTCCTGCAGTTGGCCACTCAGGAGAGCCATCGTGGGACTTGGACCTGGCTGGGTCTTCCTGCCGTGTCCCAGGCACGTGTCTGCCCCTCTCTGCTCTGTCCTGAGTGAGCCCAGGCTTGTTGCCTGTTGGACGTTCCTGCTGGAGTGTCAGCTGCTGGACAGCAGGGCCGTGGCCATTCTCAGGGCTCCGTGTCTGCGCAGAGCTCCTAGCTGACCGAGGGAGCCGCATTTGTGTCAGAGGGAGCTGCCCTGGTGCAGTGGGGAGAGCTGACTGGTGGTGCATCGCGGCTGTGGAGGGACGGCCTGTTGGAGGGGCATTGCCAGGATGTGCTTTCACTTGGCCTCAGCAGTTTCCCGTCTGAGATTCATCCCAAGGAAACGTCAGAGGTGTCCTCAGAGATGTGTGTGTGTGGGTGTGGCATGTTCTTGCTTATGGCCTGCAGGACAGGGAGAACCTAAATATGCAACGGAAGGGACGGGGGAGCGCCCTTAAAATTGCACTGTGGGCCTGGCTGGTGTGGCTCAGTGGTTGAGCGTCGACACTGCACCAAGAGGTTTCTGGTTCAATTCCCAGTCGGGGCACATGCCCAGGTTGTGGGCCTGATCCCCAGTGGGGGCATGCAGGAGGCGGCCAATGGATGTTCTCTCATCGACGTTTCTCTCTCTCTCTCTCTCCCTTCCTCTTTCTCTAACATCAAAGAAAATAAAATTGCACTGTGATAGGTCAGCGCCCTGATTCGGGAGTGCGTGTCAGGACAGATTACAGCACTGCGCAGATTATAGAAAAGCATGGTCCCAATTTTTAAAATTCGCAAATAAAACGACTAGAAATACTCTAAAATATTTATTTATTGTACTCCTTATCTTTGGAAGATGAGATTATGAGTAGTTTTTTTTTTTTCCCTGTCTATGATTTTCTGCAAAGAACATGGCAACTTTATTTTTCATGGCTACTTTTCTTTTTTATCCTCTCCCAGGGACATTTTTTCATTTTTTGTTCAGAGAGAGCAGGAGGGAGAGAGAGTAAGAGAGAGAGAGAGAGAGAGACATTGATGTGAAAAGGGACACATCAAGTGGCTGCCACCCACACGACCCAACCAGGACTGGGGACAAACTGCAACCGAGGTACATGCCCTTAGCGGGAACCGAACCCCGGTCTCTCTGGGCCGCAGGCGGACGCTCTAACCACTGAGCCAAACCGGCCAGGGCCCATGGCTACTCTTAATCAGTAAAAATTTTTACAAATAAATATATTTTCAATATTAAAAAGTTAATCTAGCTTATAAAATCACAAGTATAGTAAACCGTCATTAATATTTATATGGCTTTGTTTTAGATTTTGAGATAATTTAACATTTTAGACGGGTGCTGGGCAGATTTTACTCAACTTCAGGCCACTGATGAGAAGTGTTTGATGAATACATTTATAATCTAAATGAAGTTACATCTCAGCAATTTATGAGGTCGGTCTTGCAGATAAGAAAATGAAGCTTCGAGGACAAAGTGCCTGCTCAGGGTTTCCCTGCAAGGAGGTGGAGGTCAGAGTCAGCTGGGCGAGGTTTATTCCTGACCTTTCCTTTCGCCAGCACTGCCCAGCACCCACGCTTCCTCCCGGGGCGCCGCGCACAGGGCTGTGCCGCCAGCACCTGCGCAGGCCTCGCGCCAGTTTTCTGGTTCTTGGCACTAGTGGTCACAGCCAAACTGTTGTGAGGTCCCGCTAGGGCGCCTGCGTCTGGACACGCACACCCAGGCACAGTGAGGTGCGGCGCAGCAGCTGCAGGCTCCCCATTTCTCCTGTGGCACGGAGAACAGTAAGGAACACTTTATGCAAGACTGTTGCCACAGGGGAGAGAGATGGGGCCCCACTTCAAATACAACAGAAACATCTGGGGGTTTAAGCCAACAGGCAGAGCAAGGGCGAGACTCAGGGCAGAGGCTGAGGGGTGCGATCAGATGTAGGGGTGTGATCAGCAGGGCTCCTAGCACTGCCCGAGGAAGCCTGAGGTTGAGGCCTGTGGAGAAGGGCCCAGAGGAGCCTGCCTGGAGTCTGCTGCCGGGGAGCTCTGCAGTGGGGTGAGCCCTGGGGGCAGCCCTGGGCATGTGGAGACCACCCAGGCGGCAGCTCCCCTTGATTTACTTCCTGGGTGCCTGTGGGTCCGTGAGTCCTCCGTTGTCCACACGCTGCCATGGGGTGGACCCTCTAGGAACCCTCAGTCCCTGTTCTCAGCCTTCTGTGTACGGGGTCCCCATAAATCGCTTTTTTTTTTGGTGGGGCGAGAGGAGAGAAGAAAGCAGGCTTCAGACATCCCACGCGAGCCAGGAGGGGCCTCGCTGAGAGGACCGAGACCCAGCCAGCGTGTGGCCCTCGAAGACCCAGAAACGAAGCACAGAACCAGACCACTGTGCACTCGTCCTGTCATCCAGGGCCCCTGTTGGACAGACCCCCACACTTGCCCGCGCGGGGTGCTCTCCCAGTCAGCCCAGACACTGGTGTTGCGTTATGTGGTGTTCGTAGGTTTTGTCTTGTGGAGATAGACTTATTTGTTTGGTAAAGATAAAAGCAAGTTTATGGTTTTTTCGCTCTCGAGGGCATTAACCTGCTTTGTCTCCAACATGAAAAGCCTGTTTTGGTCAAGCCCAGTTCTTCAGGCGCCCTCTGCACGGGAGGTGCTCTGACACTTTGGGATGCTGGCCAGGTCTTAGGGTGGCTGCAACCACGGGGCCCAGTTGTCCGCAGATGCTGCTCTGCACATGGGCCGTGTCCCCGAGTCCTCTGTCCCGGTGTCTGGAGTGGCTCTGGACCTGCAGTGCCCGCCCCTGCTGTCGGCAGCAGGGTTGATGTGTCCCTGCGGAGGCAGGCCGGGACTTGTCTCCTGTGCACGTCCTCATTCGCTGGTGACCAGGCCTGGGATGGGTCACTGCAAGGAGAGCGAAGCCGTTCCTGGAGGTGAGGCCGCGTCCGGGGTGGCACGCGCCCCGTGTGCCCGTGGCCTGGCCTTGCAGTTCCCTGCACTGGTGCTGCTGGAGGGCACCGCTCCCGCACTGTCCTGTGCCCCTCGGGGTCAGGCACCTGGCGACTCCTGGTCTCTCGCGACACACCTGCCCTTTGGTGCCTTCACGTGTTCACTTACAAATGCTGCGGGCACGCTTGCGCACGTGTGTGTGCACGCGCATGTGTGCGTGCGTGCGTGTGTGTACGCGTGCGCCATCCCCCTGCGTGGCAAATGCCACTGGGTGCGGGTGTGATAGCCGTCATCTGCCCTGGAGAAGCTCTCGTGGGTAGAACTGATTTCCTAGGCTGTGTTTTGGGCAGCAAGACCCCTACCAAATGGGATGTGACTTCTGTTTTCTTCCTAGAATATGAAGATTTTCTTATAGTTTACAGGTAGGATAAATGAAATTATATACATGTTTGGAATCATCTTTGTTTTATTTTATTTTTAAATGTTTTTATTGATTTTTTTTAGAGAGAGGAAGGGAGAGAGAGAAACCGTGATGTGAGAGAGAAACCAATCGACTGCCTCCTGCACGCGCCCTACTGGAGGTGGAACCTGCAACCCTGGCCTGCTCCCTGACCAGGAGTGGAACCGGGGCCTCTCAGTCCATGCGATGTTGCTCAGTCCACTGAGCCACACCGGCTGGGCTGGAATCATCTTTAAAACTACCTAAAGATAGAGCTCGGCCAGTGTGGCTCAGTGGTTGAGTGTCGACCCATGCACCAAAAGGTGGCTGGTTCCATTCCCGGTCAGAGCACATGCCCCGCTTGTGGGTTAAATCCCCAGTCGGGGGCATGCAGGAAGCGGCCAGGGCCACAGATGTTTCCCACCACCGGCCTGTGTTGGTCGGGGTGGTGGGTGTGCAGCATGTTGGGCTGAAAATGGAAGGACCCTCTGCCACCACAGGTTCCCCGATCTCTGCGGGTCTGAGCTTCTTCGCAGACCCCTCAGAGGAGCACAGTGCACGCTGACACCCTGAGGTAGTTTGTGATTCAGACTGGGAGATGGGCGTGTGAAAGCCAGGAAAAGAGTGGGCTTTTCATTACTGGGATAAGAGGAGGAAAACATTTGAATGAAATCAAAGCGGAGCTGAATCTGACTTCTTGTAAAATAAAGGGGAGGGTGTTCGGGACATCAGTGTTGTCACTGCAGTTTGAGTAGGAAAATGCTTGAGACAAAAGTCCTCTGGTTGGTGAGGGAGGCTGCCGCACGCATGGGGCTGGCCCGCGGGAGCTGGGGTGAAGGCAGCATCTGTGGGCTCCCACTGGCTGCTGGTGGACGTGGGGGAGGGGGCAGCACCCAGCCTGGGGCCTGGTAAGAGAATGGAAACTGAGTCACACCGTTTGTAACAGTAACCTTTGCTTTGCTCATTGTCAACCACCTCGAAGCCTGCTTCCCCAGAGCCAGGCATAGAGAAGTGGCCTGGGCTTTGAGAAGTTGGAGATTGTGACCACCCTTGTCCTTAGACGCCCTTCCCAGACCTGCACCTGCCTGCCGTTGGGATGTCAGAGAAAACCCCTCTGCTCAGGAAGACGCTGTGACGGTCCTAGACGTAGGGCCCACGCCCGGAGGTCCAAACTACCACCTTACAGCTGAGATAATCATGCTTAAAGTCCAGTCTGCTTTGGTCTCACGTTTTGATAATGTTCCTAGGAGAAACGCATGCTATCTAGACAGAGCTCTGCGGTGGTGTGGGTGTGTGTGTCCGTCATGTTAGCCAATGAGCAAGAGTTCTCTAAATTTCAACATAAATGTGTGTTGCTTATGTCCACTCAATTAAAAGAAATTTCTTTTTCTTTATTGACTTTAGAGAGGGAGAGAGACAGAAACATCCACTGGCCGCCTCCTACACGCCCCCCACTGGGGATGGGGCCCCCAACCTGGGCATGTGCCCTGACCGGGAATTGAACCGGCGACCTCTTGGTGCAGGGTTGACAGACGCTCCACCACTGAGCCACACCAGCCAGGCATCCACTCAGTTTTTATATATTTTTCACTTAATGGCTATTAAACAGATAACTTCAAATTCTAGTGGAGTCAGCGTCTGTTGACAGCGGTTGGTCCCTAAGCAGTCGCCCTGTGCCTGGGCCTTTTCTCAGCCTGGCACTTCGTTTGCAATTTCATGTGTGACAGTGACAGTGACAGATGTCTGCCTGTCCGGTCGTCGTGGAGACTGGAGCCTCTGTGTGGAGTGTGCGGGTCTGGAGGTGTGAGCCCAGGGCCGAGGAGGCTGCTGCTGCAGACGGGCCTCAGCACCGGCGGCCGCGCTGGCTGGAGCCTGCCAGGGCCTGTGCATTCTGTGCTGGGTCTGCCTCGCGGGGGTTCTTGTTTTGTTTTATCGAAGGGCACTGAGTCCCGATGACTCTTAGAATCAAGTGAGAAGAACAGGCCGTAAGGTGAAATAGGTCACTGGGATCCCCTGACCTCGGTGGGCGTTGTCACCTACTCAGGTAGTGTCTTACATTACACTTTCTATTATGGAAGGACATCTTAAAGTGCTCTGCTTAGTTCATTTTTTTTCAGATTTTGAATTCTAACTCTGAACTACCTTGTATGTGCTTACATTTTAGAAAGGGCAGTTTTCGCCCTGGCTGGTTTGGCTCAGCGGTTAGAGCGTCGGCCCACGGACCAATGAGTCGCAGGTTCGATTCTGGTCAAGGGCACGTACCTCGGTTGTGGTTCATCCCCGGGCCTGGTTGGGGTCTGGCGGGAGGCAGCTACGCGATGTGTCCCTTTCACATTGATGTCTCGTGTGCTCTCTGTTCCTCTCTCCCTCCCACTCTATCTGAACAAAAAATGGAAAAATGTCCTCAGGTGAGGATAAAAAAAAAAGAGAGAGGACCGTTTTCCACTGAGAGCCATCGGCATCTCGGGTGTCACAGAAACTTGTCGTGAGCATCTGTGCCCCGCAGTTTTGACCAGAGGTGGGGGTCCGTGAGGCAGAAGGCTGACCCCACTGACATGTGGACTGCACTGTTCAGGGGTCGGCTGGGCTTTGACCTGCACTGGGGTGTAGCTGACATACAGGAACTGCATATGCTCAGAGTTCACGGCTGCCACGTGCTCACCCTGATACCGGCGCCACAGTCGAGGTTATGGGTCCATCTCCAGAAGTGTCCCCTCTGAGTCCTGCCCCCCGTCCCCCCACGACCCTGCCCCCCCGTCCCCCCCACAGTCGAGGTTATGGGTGGGCCCATCTCCAGAAGTGTCCCCTCTGAGTCCTGCCCCCCGCCCCCCCACGACCCTGCCCTCCCTCCTGCCCCCCACGACCCTGCTGTGCTCTTTGTCACTACAGATGAGCTCGGCTCTGATGAACTAGTTTTATATAAATGGGTCATACAGTGTGTGCTTTTTTTGGGGGGGGGGGGTTACCTGGCTTTTTCACTCAACAACATTATTTTGAGAAATATCAGTTTATGTTTTAGGTTTTCAAAGTTAACTTCATTTGGGTTCCTAGATGGGGAATATGACCTATTTGAAAACTGACCCTGTTTTGAACTCAACTGAGAAATCTCTTGAGTAAAGTCTTAGTTACCGTCTTAGAAGGTGCTGCATGTGTTGTCCTTGGAGAGTGACTGGCACTGCGGCCAGGCCCCTCCCGTGTCTCCACAGAAACCAGGCTCCTATAGGGGACAAGCGCTCACGTGGTCTTGTGCTGCTCTGCCCGATGCCCTGACGCCTGGTCTCCTCCCTTGCAGGTCCCTGCGGCCGCTCAGCCATGGGTGTGCGAGGCTTGCAGGGCTTTGTGGGGAGCAGCTGCCCCCACATATGCACCGTGGTGAGTTTCAAAGAGCTGGCGGAGCAGCACCGAAGCAAGTGCCCCGGAAGCACCCCCACGGTCGTGGTCGACGCCATGTGCTGCCTCAGGTACTGGTACACCCCAGACTCCTGGGTCTGCGGCGGCCAGTGGAAGGAGTACTTCTCTGTCCTGCGCAATTTCGTGAGGGTGTTCACGGCCGCGGGCATCCAGCTGGTCTTCTTCTTCGACGGCATGGTGGAGCGGCACAAGCGGGACGTGTGGGTGAAGCGCAGGCTCAGGAACAGCAGGGAGGTCGCCAGGATCTTCCACCACATCAAGTCGCACAGGGAGCAGCCCGGCAGAAACATGTTCTTCATCCCCTCGGGGCTGGCCATATTCACGCGGTTCGCTCTGAAGGCCCTGGGTCAGGAGACGCTGTGCTCCCTGCAGGAGGCCGACTATGAGGTGGCGGCTTACGGCCTCCAGCACCACTGCCTGGGCATCCTCGGGGAGGACACGGACTACCTGGTCTACGACACCTGCCCCTACTTCTCCATCAGCGAGCTCTGCCTGGACAGCCTCAGCACCACCATGCTCTGCCGAGAGAAGCTGTGCGAGAGCCTGGGCCTGCGCCTGGCGGACCTGCCTCTCCTGGCCTGCCTGCTGGGCACCGACGTGGTCCCGGAGGGCCTGTTCGAGACCTTCCGGTACCAGTGCCTGTCTGCCTACACCTCCGCGCGGGAGAACTGCGGCAGGAACGGCAGCGTCATCCTAGCCGTCGCCGACCACATATCCAAAGTCCTCCGCTTACATCAAGGGGAGAAAAAGCTAGAAGAGATGTTACCTTTAGGACCAAACAAAGCCCTTTTTTATAAGGGGATGACATCGTACCTTTTGCCAGGACAGACATCTCCATGGATTTCCCAGAAAGCCAAAGTGATAGCCCCTTTGGACAGCCAGGGGGCATCCGAGAGTTCAGACCCTGAGCCCAAGCCAGACGTTCCCGTGGGTTCAAACCCTGAATCTGAGCAAGATGTCCTGTGTACAGATCTTGAATCGAAGCAAGAAAGCCCCATGTGTGCAGACCCCGAGTCCAGGCAAGAAGACCCCACGAGTATGGAGCCTGAGCTTAAGCAGCAAGTAGCCCTGGTTTCAGACCCTGAAATCTTAGAGGTAGGTGGATGCACCACCCACATCTAACGCCCTGGCTGGAAACACATCCATCAAGGGGCTCGTCGGTGAAGGTTGACTACCTGCAGGGGTTAAGGCACGGTGGGGACACAGAGGGGACCCCTGGAGTTTAGTTAGGAAGTGTGACGTGGCCACGGGAACTCCCGCAGTAACCATATTTGATGCTTCCCCGTGACTGTTACACAGGAGAGCTCTGGAATTTGGAGGGGAGGTCACGGTGGGTTAGGGCGCAGAGAGAAGCTCCCGGAGGAGGTGGGAGTCGGGCTCCCACCTTGGTGGGGCTGCCGTGTGCTTCCAGCAGCCTAGGCTGGGAGTTGCCAGAGATCAGGGTTCTCAGTGGGGTGTGTGCAGCTTTGTGGGCACGTTTGTCAGAGCACCAGCTTGTCTCAAGGGGAAGGATCAGGAACGGTGCACAGGGGTGTGGCCTACACGCTGTTCCTCAGGCTGCGACGCACCCCTGACGTCTCTCACAGCCTGGGTCTGGGGGTGTGGAGGGAGACCACTTCTGACCCTCGACCAGTCGGTGCTGAGTAGTGGCTCCTTGTGGTCTGTGTGCCTGTGACAGTCACCAGTCACTGAGCACGCCCGGTGTGCCGGCCACGTGGTTGCAGGTGTCACCTCTCGTAGTCCTCACAGCAGTTTTGTGAGGTTGGCACCTTCATTAAACGTGTTTTATATATGAAGAGCGTGAAGAATGAAGAGATTAAGACTCAAATCTGCATAATGAATCCACGTAACGTGTGTGTGAATAATGAGTCTGAGTCAGAGTTTCTAACATTCCAAGTTATCTTGATGCCACACTTTAAATGCCGTTAGCTGTAGGCTGTTTGGATTTAAATGCAGAGTAGTGATGTAGATGAATTTATTCCTATGGTAATAAGAATGTTCTTCACAGGAAAACAGAACCTGTATGTAGGTTATTATAGCCTTTCTGGTTTTAAATTCTTACGTAATGAGAAAGTGATTCACATTGTACAGTCGTCCTCGTTTATTGCGGTTAATTGTTCCAGACTCGAGCGGTTGCACCTGGCGTTGAAGGATCCCTGGGTGCTTGAATACACAGGCCTATAGTCCATACGTGCAGTAATTTTAATTGTAATTTTAATACAGGGTGTATAACTGACTCAGACAACCAAGCGCGTGCTGTATCATTTTACTGTCTCGCTTGACTTTTTAATGAATATGTTTGAAAAAACCGAGATAGAGTGAAGCCATGAACGTCAGAGGGCGAAGTGGCCAGGGACGACTGTACCTCTCTCCACCTGCCCCGTGCCCAGGCACAGCAAGGCAGACGGGCGTGTGCCCAGGACGCATTGTCACTTGGGAAGTGCTGAGCACAGGGTGAATGAGCATTTCTCCTCCCAGGGAGCTGGCGGTTCAGTGAGTCAGGCCCCAAGAGGAGGGGAGCAGAGGTTCTGGGGAGGGTGATGCTTGAGGTGAGCCCTCGAGGGAGGGGCTGGTGCAGTGGAGGCTTGTGGAGCAGGGGCCGGTGGGGGTGGGGGGGCAGCCTGGGGGCACTGTGACTGGGGAGCATTGGAAGGGGCCTGGCTCCCAGCGGCAAGAGCGTGGCGGCTGTGCACAGGTGTGGACCTGGGGTTGCCCAGCGTGGGGAGGGGTGGGTCTGGCAGTCCCAGCAGGCCTTGCTCTCCGGTGGGCAGAGGACCTGCTGTGCAGTCAGCGAGTCTCGGGGCGCTCGGGCTGGAGGACAGGGAACAGCAGGAACCTCTCAGCTGGAAGCCCAGAGGGCAGGAGACATGCCAGCTGAGTTGGGGACAGTTACTCCTTGCTGTGTCCCTTGAAGCACGGGTGTGTGACTTAAAGGGGCCGACGCTTGCTGTGTGGAGGTGGCTCTTTGCGAAGAGAAATCCGTTGTCTCCATTCCGAGCAGGTTGCTAGAGCCCGTCACGTGCAGGCGGAGAGCTACCTGGTGTACAACATCATGGCCAACGGGGAGATCGAGTGCAGCAACACCTTGGAGGACGCGCTGGACCAGGCGCTGCCCAGCCAGGCCTTCGCCTACCGCCCGGTGCGGCAGCGCGTCTACTCGCTGCTGCTGGCGGGTGGTCACGGTGAGTCCCGAGGACGCAGGTGGGCTCGGACGCGGGCGGAGGAGGACACAGGTGCGCCCCGGCAGGCGTGTCCTCGGCCAGTGTCGTGGAGAGGCCCACTGGCGCCTGTGCAGGCGGGTGACGGCCACGGCATCTGCGACCAGCCAGCCAGCCGCTGGTCAGCGCTCACTGAACAAGAGCCTTGTTTCTGTAAAAGGTCGTATTTTTATACCTTGAGAGGACTTGGTTGTTCCGGACTGAAATCGCTGTCCCTCCTGAGGAAGTGCAGGGTGTCCGTGACGACACAGTGTCTGCTTGGCTCCCTCTGAGGGTCCACAAAAGGATGCGGTAGAACCGAGCGCGTCAGCTTCTAAAATATGAGCAGGATTTCCCTCTAGGGGTTTGTCATGAAGTCCCGTGTCCCCACCTCTGTCCATTGTGCAGCGAGAGGGCGGGGCGGGGGGGGCATCAGAGGCCAGAGCTGGCTGGGGACGGCCTTTAACCCGACAGGAAGTCCCTCCGGCCCCTGACGCGCTCTGAGGAACAGTTTGGAGAGGAAAGAGCATTTCCTCCTGTCGTCCACTGGTGGTCAATGCACGTGGTGATCTGTGTCGCTCAGACAGGCCGACCGCAATGTCCTGTCTGACGGGAGAAGTGATGAGGAAGAAGCTGATTTAAAAACAGAAACAGCCAGGCTGGCGTGGTCAGTGGATGAAGCATCGTCCCTGGACTGAGAGGTCCTGGTTCGATTTCCAGTCAGGGCACAGGCCTGGGTGTGACTCGATTCCCAGTAGGGGGCGTGCAGGAGGCAGCCGATGGATGTTTCTCTCACACATTGATGTTTCTATCTCTCTCTCTTAAAAAAAATCTCATTCTCCTCCCCATACCAAGGGTAATCATATTTAAAACAAAAACAGGACCATGACCTGGCCAGTTTGCTTAAGTGGTTAGAGCATCAGCCCGAAGACTGAAGGATCATGGGTTCAATTCCTGGTCAAGGGCACACAACTCGGTTGTGGGTTCAATCCCAGTCCTGGTTGGGGTCATGGGGGAGTCAGTCAATTGATGTGTCTCTCTCACATCGATGTTTTGCTCTCTCTCTTTCTCCCTTCTTCCCACTCTATCTGAAAAAAATTAATGAAAAACATATCCTTGGGTGAGGATTAAAAAATAAAGGAAACAGAAACAAAAGAGCCTATGTATTAAACTTTGGGAACAAATATTATTTAATTTTCTCCTTATATGGCTCTCTGCCCATATTCTTTCTGAACATGAATGATTATACATTGACTAATGATTAAAAAAGATATTTTCATCTTGAAAAAAATGTACATTATAGAATAATATTTGCCTGGAATTGCTTTTAGAATACAGTTGACCCTTGAACAAAACCATGCAGGGTCAGGGGCATCATCCCCAGACTGAGTCTGAAATTCACAGGCAGCTGCTGTTGGCCCTCCACGTCCTCAGATCCCTGCACGGGTCCCCTACCGAAATGTCCGTGGATCCCCGAAGTTCACACTCGTGTTCAAGGGTCACCTGTATTTTATTAAACGAGGCTAAAATACATAAACTTGACTAACCTAAACGTCATACTTTGGTAATCCACTTGCAGTCATATAGATAACTTCATTAGATAATCGTGATAACAGGAAAAAATGCTCTAATTGAATTTGTCTTCATAAATGATTTTTACCTTTCATTTTTATTTTTCAGCTTTTTGGTTTTCGACGGGAAGTTTACATTATTAGGATGTGAAAATAAAATGCTGCTGTTGCTGGTGTATTTATGGTGACAACAGTGCGGCATGCTCTGTGTTCCCTCTGAGCTCAGCCTGTGCCTCGTGCACTGGGGAATGGCGTGTGCTCTGCAGTTGCGGAGCGGAGCGTCCCAGAAATGTCCGTCTGCTACCAGTATCTGTTCTTAGTTCTTGAGAAAAGAGTGTTGACATCTTCAGATGCTATTGTAGATGTTTTTACTTATACATCCTGTTTTGTTCGTTTTTGCTTCAGCTCTATTAGAGGCTCTGTTAGGTGCAGATATATTGAGGATTGTTATGTTTATTAATGAATGGACCCTTTTAACACTATGAGATTTCCCTTTTTTAAAAACCGGGTAATGCTCTTGACGTGACGATGGCTCTGTGATGTGATGTGTGCCCTCCAGGCTTGATCAGTGTTGCACGGTGTAGCCTCGTTCTGTGCTTTCACTTTAAACCTATGTACTTATATGCAAAGTGCACCTCTTTTAAGCAGCATATTGTCTGACGGTCTCTGTCTTTTAATGGAATGTTTAGACCTTTTACGTTTAATGCAATCATTGCCATGATTGGGTTCGAGTCTCCATGTTGCTCTCGGCTGTGGTTTTTTTCCCCACTTAGTTACTCCTTTTCTGACTTCTTTTGGATGAAGTGAGTAATTTTTATTTTGTTTTATATTTTCTTTGGAATTGCTAGATTTGCCTATTGTTTTATAGCGGTTGCTCTAGGGTCTATAATATTCATCTGAGCCATCCCAGCTGCCTGCGCAGTGTTTGCGTGTGTGACGTGGAGCCCACGGCAGGGCTCTTCTGTCACTTCAAGGTTTCAGCCGTTGTTGGTCTATGTCCTCTATATAGTTTTAAACCTTTTTTATTGTGAAGTAACAGATCGCAGCAGTAACACACTGAGTCCCACGGACACCTCCCGGCCCCCAGAGAGGGCCCTGTGAGACAAGCTCAGTGAGGCCGTCCTGCTACCTGGACCGCAGGCCGTGACCGTGCTCACTCTTCACCGCCCTCCTCGTAGCTCTGCCGTTTTGCCCGTGTCGGGACGCAGACCTGGGCCTCACCTCAGACGCTCCCTCGTGCTGCCTCTGTGTGTCCTGCCTTCTGTCCCTGACCCACGGACACTGATCTGTCCTCCATCTCTATGTTTCGGTCATTTTGAAACTGTCAGATAAATGAAACATGTCGTATATAACTTTCTGAAATTATGCATGTGTTTTAAACCCCATACGGGATTCTCATCTTCACTGCCGACGGGGTTGGAAAGCTGCTCTGTGCAGGGCGGGCAGTGAACGCTGAGGCCCAGAGGTGCCCCAGTCGCTGTGACCCGCACTGAACCTGCTGCGGTCGACAGTGTCGGTGCCGCGCCGTGGGCCAGCCGAGCTCCACCGCGTCCATGCCCACGTCAGAGTCCACTCTGCGCCCCTCCTGGGTCACGGGAGCCTGCCTTCGCTGACTGTCAGTCATTGGAAATAACGTGGGAAGCATCAGCTCTCAGACCGTGGAAACGCCAGATCTGGCCCAGGGACTGGCGTTTTCCAACCCTTACTTTAAACAGCCTCTTGTCTTAAAAATTTATTTTTTCTTTATTGATTTTAGAGAGAGAGGAAGGGAGAGGGGGAGAGAGAGAAACATCAGTGAGTGAGAACATCGAGTGGCCGCCTCCTGCACACCCCCCCCCCGGGGATCGGGCCCACAACCTGGGCATGTGCCCTGACCAGGAATTGAACCGGGACCTCTTGGTGCAGGGTTGACCCTGAACCACTGAGCCACCCGGACTGGGCCCCAGCCCTTTTTCATCTCTAAGTCTGTCATGACCCAGACGACTTTCTTACCTGTAAGAACATGGCAATAAAGACGCAGGACTTGGTGAATTTCTTTTTTATTTTGTTTCGTCATCACCTGAAGATATTATTCCATTGATTTTTAGAGAGACTGGAAGGGAGCAAGAGAGACACATCGATTGGTTGTGTCCCACATGACCCTGACCCGGGATCGAACCTGCAACCCACATACGTGCCCTTACCAGGAATCAAACCAGCCAGGGCTCTTGTGGTGCTCATTTTATTTTCGAGTTTTTTCCCTAAAATATCTTTATTTCAGAAGTACACTTTTGCTGGGTATAGAATTTTAGGTGTTTTTTGTTTAGCACTTCAAACCTGTCACACATGGTCTCTAGCTTGTGTTGTTTCTTGCGGGCTGACAGTGTCCTTCTCACTGTTGCTCCCCTTGAACAACGGTCTGCGAGGTGCTCTGTGCGCCCCGGTTCGCAGCCGTGCCCCTCAGTCCGTGTCAGTGGCAACGTTGTCTCTCTCTCTCACCTCTCCCTCTGGGCCTTCAGTCAGGTACAGGTACGGTTTGCAGCTCAGTGTCCTCAGGCGCCAGGGTGGTCTCCGAGCCCCTCTCTCTGCTCTGTCCCAGGTCAGTGAGTCTTCTTCCGCCTCCTCCGTCTGCCACTGACCCAGCCATGGAGATGTCGCTTCAGATACTGTTCCTGAGCTGTTCAGAAATCCCATTTCTTTCTTCCCTGTCTCCTTGGTTTCCTTTGAACCCTTGGACATATTCACAGCCGTCTTCAAGTCCTTCTCACAAACTGTCCTCCCTGTCACTTCTGGGCCTGAGTGTTGACGTTTCTCCTTACAATGGGTCCGTGTGTTTCTGCTCGCTCTCGTGGGAGGTGATCACGTGTGCTGGCCTGGTTCTCTCCGGTTCCCCTGAGGCTCATGCGGGGTCTGCAGCCCCGCCCCTGGGCTTGGCCCTCTTGGGCTGTGCCCGGGGTGCGGGTGCTTCAGGGGTCCCTGCGCGTTGGAGCCTGTGCAGGCCGGCAGGCGGCCAGCGGGGCTCCCAGTGGCTGTGCTGTTCAGCTTCACTGAGTCTGCCCTGCACATAAGCTCAGGTCTGAGCCCGGAGCTCAGGGTGCAGCTCCGCACAAGGCCACCCCCCTGCTGGTCTGCCCGCAGCCCCGGGTCACACAACCTCCGTCTGAGCTCTGTCCTCACTCAGACCTGCTCCTCTGCCAGGGCTCCTCCCCAGGCTGTGGTCTGCACGGTGCCTCAGGACACGAAATCAGGGTGAGGGCGCAGCGGCTTCGAAAGCTTGTCCCGATCTGGAGTCAGGAGTCAGGCGGGGGGCGGAGGGGCAGCAGCCCACCCCATCTCGGCCGTGCCCCGTCCTCGTGTGTTTTAGCTGCTGACACTGTTAAGTGCTGGTTGACTCTGTTCCTGTCCTGGTGACTTTTTCTCTTGGAAAGTCTTAGAATCTTTATTCTTCACGTCCACACATTTCTCTCCTCCGCTGTCTGCTCTCTGCTGCTGGAATGGCTGCTAAGAGCTGGGCGTCCGCCTTCCCGGGCCAGTGTCCTTGTCGTCACCTCTGGTCCTGGCTTCTCTTCCTACATGGCGGGAGCACTTCCCCACCCAGGCTCCACCCTCATGGCGGAGTTTCTGCCTTTGTTCCCTCTCCACCGAGGCCACTGTCCTGGTGCCTGGTGAGTTCCCCACCTCTCTGCTGTCTCTGCTCCTCCCTGACTGCAAGTTCCCCCGGAGCCCTCGTCTGGGGACCATCCTCCTCCCTCCTGGCCCTGTGCCCTGCTCCCCCGTGGGCGACCTCGGAGCTGGGCTGGGCTCGGCCTTTCACACCCATGCATCCTTCTCTTCACGTCAGAAACTAGATCCTCGTTGAGAAATGCCACTTCCGTTTCTCTGGCTCAAACCATTCTTCTGATCAATTCTGTGCTTCCCTGAGGTCCTTATAAATAAAGTTCTCCAAGTGCCTCTGTTCCCTCCTCCAAAGTGAGTCCCTCCGAGAGCACCCTGCGCTCTCCGTCCTCAGGCCTGCGGTCTGTACCCGCCAGGCTGGGCTGTGGCTGTCCCGCCTCACAGGGCTGCCCCCCAGGGGGCTGGCAGGGGCTGTCCTGCTGCATTCGCTGCAGTGAGGTGACTGGGGGTGTCTGGGTGTCTGCCTTGCGTGCTACCTTTCCAGGACTATTTGCTGTGAGCGAGGTGCCCCTCAGAAAAGGACCAGGCCAGTGGCCGCGTTTCAGACGTGGAAGGAGTGGGCCTTGCAAGCCCCCTGGGTGAGCAGCTGTCTCCAAGCCGAGGCTGCCGGAGCTCAGTGCTTGAAGTGAGGTTCAGGGTCAGGGTTCCTTTGTCTCCAGGACCCAGACTCTGGGTACGAGCCCTCAACATGTGCAGCCGGGCCTGTGAGTCCGAGCCAAGGACTGCAGCCTGGCGGTGCTGCAACTTGAGTCCCGCGCAGGCCGACCTGCTGGGCTCTGCAGGGCTGGCTGGTCGGAGCGGCCTCAGCACTTTTTCGGGAGTAGGTGTATTTGGTGGCGAGATGGCATGTGGCCAGAAGCGAGAGAAACCCTGAGCTCACTCACCCTCGGCCCATTCCCGGCCTCACACCTGTTCTTACCTGATGCTGACTCCGTCTCTGAGTTTCAGTCTCTAACGGTCGTGATTATCTTGGTGTAAACCACTAGGAAACCATCCACATTTTAGGAGGCGGAATAAAGCCTCCTCGACGGCTCCGGGGTTATCTGAGTTCGGGAAGAACCTGGGCGCCTGGTGCCCTGACATTGGGTGGGCCGTCCCGTCCCTGGTTGTCCTGTCCGGTCCCACCCAGTGGGGTAAGGAGGGCTGCTGTCTCGTGGGTGCCCCGCCCTGCAAGTCCAGAGGCAGTGCTGGGGGCCGCGCGGGCCCTTCACCCGTTGAAAGCCCAGATACTGACCCGAAAGTAACTTAAAAAAATTATACAAAAAAAGAAAGGGAAGTTTGTTATTTTAAGGACCAGGAGCACACACAATTGAAGATTAAACAGTGGTGTAAAAACACTGCAGAACCATAAGGACAAACACTCTTTAAAAAGCTGGAGGATGGTCACAAACTTGAAAATCCCACTTGTGCCCCCTCGCTTTCTGCCCACACGCCCCACACATGCCCTCAGACCCAGATCGTGAGAGGAGTCGGCTCGCTGAGCGGTGGTCATGTGACCTAGCAGGTTCCAGGGGAGGGTCAGAGGTGGACATGTGCCCGGCTTTGCTCCCAGGGAAGCATGTCTCACTTACGTGCAGGAGACTGGACAGAGACGCCCTCTGCCCCATGGGTGTGAGGACAGGTCTGGGCCAGGCTTCCATCGCCAGGTGCAGCGCTGGGTGTGCGGGAGCGGAGACCGGCGGCGGGCGTGCCCTCTGTCCTGCCAGCTCAGAGCCAACCAGGCGGAAGTTCCCCTGAGGGCTTGCCAGGCCCTCTTCCTCTCCCCTTCGTCTCGATCTGTGGCACTAGGGCTACTTTCTCCTAATCCAGACAGACCAAATTGTCGCGGACGTTTCTGCTCTAATTTCAACGTGATGACATTAAAACCGCTGAAATGAAGCGGTGCCCAGAGAATGGCCAAAGTGGAGTTTTCTAGGAGCATGAGTTCATTGTTACTTGAAGGAGAGCTTAGGTAACCCTTGTGTCTGGCTCAAGGTTCTGGAAGGAGCCTGGACCTGTAACTGTAGGGGGGTCATCTGGACTAAAGGTGAACACGGTGCATCTGAACGTTTAGGTCGAGGTGAGGATGCTGCATACACCACCCGACTTCCTCTTTTTTTTCTTTATTCCTCACCCGAGGATACTTCTCCTTATCAGACAGAGTGGGAAGGAGGGAGGGAGAGAGAGACAGAGAGAAACAGGGACGCGATAGAGCCACATCGACTGGCTGCCTCCCGCACGGCCCTACCAGGGCGGCGGACGAACCGTGCCCTTGACCGGAATCAAACCCATGACTCATTGGTCTGAGGGCTGATGCTCTAACTGCGGAGCCAAACCGGCCAGGGCCCGACTTACTGTTTTGAATGTTGACAACACTCTAGCCTCTGTGCCCTGCCCTTTGCCCTCTTGTGATGAGGCGGCTTTCTGAGGGTCTGTTAAGCTGCCTGTCCCTGTGGCCCGTGACCCAGAGGTGAGGCTACTGGTGCTGCTGCATCTGCCTGTGGAGCGGGGCGGAGGGTGCCCGGGGAGAGTCTGGGAGCATCGGCCCAGAGTGGATGGCCTGGAGTGGGCCATCTGCCTTGGCCTGGAGTGGGTCCCCAGCGGAGTTGGGCCTGGGGACGAACGGCCTCACCCACCCACTGACCCAGCTGTCCTTTCTCAGATGGCGCCAGCAGCTGCCCCCCCGTCCAGGAGTGGTTTGTGTACTCTGGGAACCCGCTGAGGCACCCGGATCTCGTCAGGCCTCTGCAGGTGAACATCCCAGGTACTGGCAGCACTGTTGAAGCGGGTCCGATTTGTCCCCGGGTGGTGTGAGTGCAGTCACGGGTTCACCGTGGAAACGCCTGTCCCGGGATTGCACACGCACCGGTTCCGTTCCTCCTGGGCCCCAGGGGAGGCCTCCTCTCCCCACAGCAGAGGGGCAGGTGGCCTCGGCCCGGCCAGCCTGCTGCTGGCTCCGCTCCAGCTCTCAGACGGTGAGGTGCCCGGGAGCAGGGGGAACACGCTCCAAGAACATTCTTCGCCGTACCGGGCGCAGCGCAGGCAGGAAAGAGCCTCGCGCCCTTGGGACACAAAGCACAGTGTCTGTGTGTCTGTGTGTGTGTGTGTGGCCTCCAGTCCGTGAGCTCTGCTGAGTGACCTGGTCCCGCTGAAGCCGAAGCCCAGAGGTGTCGAGAGGGGGGAGGCTCGTGCCTTGGTGCTCTTGCTGTCTTTCTGGAAGGAGCGTGTGATGACATACTGCACTTCATGGACTTTTCTCCTGCAGGAGGACCGCCCAGCTTGAAGCTGCTGTGGCTGAGCCAGGAGCCCGGGGCCCAAGCCCAGCGTGTGGACGTGCTCCTTGCCTGCTTCGACCTCTCCTCCTCCAGGGAGGAGCTGCAGGCTGTGGAGAGCCCCTTCCAGGCGCTGTGCTGCCTCCTCATCTACCTGTTTGTGCAGGTAACGGCTCCCCGGACCTCGCGTGGGAGGGGCATTGCTGCAGGAGCAGCTGGGCCTGGGCCGTGGCTGCTGTCCGGTGCCCGGTCCAGCCATCTGTGCGAGGCTCTCGGGCGGTTCTGTTCCACATTTGAGAAGCCGTCTGCTGTCAGACTTGGAGTGTGATGCACGCGGGTGAACAGGCTCGGGAAGCTCTGCTCACGCTTTGTCCTGCTTCCCAACTCTAGGGGAGTAGCAGCCCCCTTCTGTCATGTCCGTGCTGGTGGTGCAGGTGAGGGGTCCACCTCTGCACTCGAGCTGACTGGCTACAGTCTCAGCTCTCCCTCAGCAGGTCCGCGCTGCTGGGCGAGTTACTGCGGCTTTCGGGGTCACACCCCACTGTCACCCCAGCAGAGGTTCACTGGGCACTGGCCGTGTGCTCTGAGCTGAGAGCGAGGTGGTAGCTCCTTCCTGGCTCTTGGAGCAGCCGTGGGGTGGTGGGCGCAGAAAGGGCTCTGGGAGGGCCCGGGGTCTGCCAGCCCATCATCGTCACCGCTCCTGTCTCAGCTGCGGCCCGGGACCCAGGCCACACGCCAGGGGGGAGCCGAGGTCTCTGTGGGTACCCTTCAGCAGGTTGGATGGCTTCTTCTTTCATTTTATGCTACTTAATATATGAAAATTACAAAAGCCAATGAAAAGATTTGCCTTTTTAGTAGTTTTCCACACACGCAAGTCTGGACACCCAATAAAAGAAGAGCTAAAATACTTCGTCCCCAGCCCCACCTCTCTTCCCCAGCTGTCCTACTTAATTTTTTTAAATTACCTTCATTGTCGAGAGTATTACAGATGTCCCCTCTTTTTCCCCATTGACCCCCTCCATCCCCCCTGCTGCACCCCCTCCCAGGCCCTCACCGCACTCGTCTGTGCGGATGTGCGCAGAAGCTCTGGCTGACACCCGGGTTCGCCGGTCTCTTCCTGCTTCCGCGCCTCTGGACCTAGTGGGTCCGCCGCTCACTGTTCATGAGATTCCACGTGAGGGGCCGAGGGGACGGTCTCCGTCCCCCTGCCGTCGCAGCCACAGTGACAGTGTCCGCGCCTCCGCCCCGCGGGCTTTCCCAGAGCCTCCCTGCAGGCCACCTGCGCTCTGTCCACCTGGAGTAGGAGCAGGGGTCCTGGCTCAGCCCCGCACTCGCCTGGCGGAGAGCTGAGCGCTGCACTTCGGGGCCTCCCCCGGTTCCCGTCTCAGGCTGCCTGGCTCTGGGCTCCGCAGCCAGCTGTCCTGCCGCGTTGGAAGAGGGGGGGTGTGCTTCATGGCCGCTGCCCGCCCCAGTGAGCCCCAGTCTGCATCACGGCTGCGGGCAGATGCATCTGTACCAGCCTCAGCCACGTGCAGGTTCAGAGAGAAGGCGAGTTGTTTATACTTACGTGTAAAATATAAACACCTAAGTTCCTTTGGTGTTGCTCACTGCGCACCCTCATGTAGGGTGATGTTCCTTGTGTGCTGGGTGCCAGGCCGCCCATGCTGTGGTGACCTGGCCGCCACGGGGTGGGGCGGGCCCATAGCCAGCAGCTCTTTTCTCTCCCAGAGAAATAGGTGTGTGTTCTTGTCAGTGTCTTGTGTGCCAGTGTGCGCCCTCCCCTGGGTGGGAGCCTTCATGGGTGTGAGCACCCCCCTAGGTGTGCGCCCTCCCGGGTGGGAGCCTTCATGGGTGTGCGCCCTCCCCTGGGTGGGAGCCTTCATGGGTGTGAGCACCCCCCCTGGGTGGGAGCCTTCATGGGTGTGCGCCCTCCCCTGGGTGGGAGCCTTCATGGGTGTGAGCACCCCCCCTGGGTGGGAGCCTTCATGGGTGTGAGCACCCCCCTGGGTGGGAGCCTTCATGGGTGTGAGCACCCCCCTAGGTGTGCACCCTCCCGGATGGGAGCCTTCATGGGTGTGCGCCCTCCCCTGGGTGGGAGCCTTCATGGGTGTGAGCACCCCCCCTGGGTGGGAGCCTTCATGGGTGTGCGCCCTCCCGGGTGGGAGCCTTCATGGGTGTGCGCACCCCCCTAGGTGTGCGCCCTCCCAGGTGGGAGCCTTCATGGGTGTGCGCACCCCCCTAGGTGTGCGCCCTCCCGGGTGGGAGCCTTCATGGGTGTGAGCACCCCCCTAGGTGTGCGCCCTCCCCTGGGTGGGAGCCTTCATGGGTGTGAGCACCCCCCTAGGTGTGCACCCTCCCGGGTGGGAGCCTTCATGGGTGTGAGCACCCCCCTAGGTGTGCGCCCTCCCGGGTGTGAGTCCTCCCCTGGGACATGCACTTTGAATTATTTCCCAGCTGCGGAGATGGGGTTGAATCCTCGCAGTCACTCAGCTGCTCTGCTCACCGTCAGTCACAGGTCCACCTGCTGCAGGGACCATCCGGTGCAGAGCACTGGCTCTCTCCGTGCTGGGCACTTAGACCTGGAGCAAGTCAGGCTCCGAGATTTCCACTTTCACCTTTTGCTACTAATAATTACTTTTTACATAGAAATCTCTTCAGTGAAAGTCAGTGTGAGGCAGACTCGATGCCAGCCTGACCCTACAGGACACACTTGGTGGAACTTTGTAAACTAAGCAAGTGGACACTGTGGCAGTGTCCTTGGGGTAGGATGGCCCTGACCCTTCACAGGTGACCTTCCTCAGGTTAGCAAGGTGAGGAGGTGCACTTGCAGCGAGCACACCTCTGTGTGGCTGTGCTTAACTCAGATGTGTTTGGGTGTAGTTGGGGATAAACATGCATCTGTTCGGGGTGCAAACCTACCCAGAACTAGTCCCAGCTCTCTGAGAAAAGTCAGTGTGCACTAAAATAATCTGCAGTAGAGCAAACACTGTGTAAGATAATGTCCATCGTGTGAACTTCTAAGAAACTGTTACTAAGAACCTGGCCTTTCACCGAGTTGTCAGCAGTCGAGGTGGCCAGACGTTGACGAACTGAAAAGACACGACAGAAGCAGCTGTTCTGCCCCGAGGTCAGTGCTGTAAAGCAGCCTCTGCAGAAGTTGCTGACGGCAGGAAGTCATAGCCCTGCCACAACCTCAGTGTGAACGGACAGATGGGCTCATGGATGTGAACCATGTTCTCTGCTTGGACCTGCTTCTGAGGGGTCTTTTTCCTGGGTCACAAGCCCTGCACATCAGCAATGTTTTGGTTTCCCTGAAATAATCACACTGTTACTTAACAAAGGCAGCAACTGCTTTGGAATAAAAACAGACGAGGAGGGTGCTGGGTCGGCCAGACGTTCAGATCTTGGCGCCAGTCTGCCCGCAGGCCTGGCCGCAGGAAGCACTTCCTGTGAGGAGAAGCTCCTGGGTCCTTCAGCTGGTGGCACACGGTGCAAAGCTGCTGCCCCGCGGGCCTGCGTCCACTGTGCTCGCCTGGCCGCATCGTCCTGGCTCTCGGTCCCTCCTCTCCCACCTGCCTCCCCTCCGCTGTCTCCTCTCTGCCTCTCCTGGCTTCTTTCTCACACTCCTGTTAGACCTTTTCATTCCACAAAGGATTGGTGGGCACTCATATTTTGGGGATCCTGATTTTCTTTAAATTGGGATTTGAGGGCGCAAACTTCCCTTAGGGCTGGTGAGGGTGAGTTCTTACTCCAGCCCTGGTCACCCCGTCAGGCCCGCTGTGTGCTGTCCGCAGACCCTGCACGCCAGCTTGGAATGTGTGCCGGCAGGACCCCTGTATTCTCTGAGATCCGGTCGTAGCTCATGACTCCTCCCAGCATTCCGGAGCTGCTGCCTTGCAGGAGAGTGACCAGACTCTCCCGCCCAGCTTGGCCTGGGCCCCGCGGAGAGCTCACCCCCAGAGCAGTGAGAGAAGAGGCCCTGCTCACACCTGCGTCTCTTCTGCTGCTCGAGACCCGGATGCACCCCGTGCGCCTGTATCTAGTCAGCACAGCCCAGTCTGAGAAGTGCTAATGCTGGGCTCTCCCTTCCCTGCAGGTGGACACGCTGGGCCTCGAGGACCTGCACGCTTTCATCGCTCAGGCCCTGTGCCTCCAAGGAAAGTCAGCTGGGCAGCTCGCAGACTTGCAGGTACTGCAGACTGACCTTCACCGTCCTGAGGACAGCCTGGCCCGGCGGAGGGTCAGCTCGGACGGCCTTTGTCTGTTCTAGTTCTGGTGTGTGTTTTCATTGTGTGTGGTGTGGCTTCACCCCTCAGATAGCTGCACCAGAGCCCTGCCAGGTGGGCAGAGCCGTAGAGGGAGGCGGCACAGATGACAGCCCGCACGTGGCACAGTGCCATCTGGGCTCTGCGCAGCCGCAGCAGAGTGTGGGCAGCAGGCTGCCGGCTCCGAGGGGCTCGTAGCTCCTGCCGCGGGCTCGGGTCCTGCCCCTGGACAGCAACGTTCATTTGATCTTTTGTGACCCTTGCTGGCTTAGGTACGTGTCCTGCCGCCAGAATGCACCCTGTCCTTCCCACGTTGTCGGGGACCTGTCCCCCGAAGGGTGCCGTCGTGGGTCCGCGAGGAGCGTTTGGTGCAGGTCCCTGTTCTGTGCCCTCGTTTTCAGACACGGACAGTCACGTGTGTTTATTCCTTAATTTCACAAAACGGCCCACGCGCGGGAGTCTCCGTGGTTCCTCTGCGTCTGCGGCTGGGGTCTGGTGGTTATTCCCCGTGGGAAAGCCCAGGTCGGGCCAGCCGTGCTGAGCACTTCCGACTGCGCTCTGCAAACTCCTCTGGGCAGCGATTGAGCGCCCAGAGCTCCAGCCTCATTGAACTCGTGTGGCTTGTCTTTCCAGCGGCTACTGACTTTCATCAATAAACAACTTCCGGTGGAATTGCAGAACGTTTGTCTGCTGGGTTTGATTCCAGCCTACTGCTCTTAACCGTCCGGTCAGACGCACAGGCAGGCTGTTTTCTCTTGTGTTAGCAGTTTTTTTTACATTGTTTTTAGTAGACCTGTTTCTGAAAGTGGATTTTTTCTCTTCCTTTGGCAAAACACAACTTTAGAAAGTGCCATGAGTTTATTAGCAGGTCAGTACTAGTTCTGAACCTGGGCAGTAGCTCCAACCACATGCCTTGCCGGCCGGGCCCCTGTCCTACCACCACCCGCCTGGGCCATCAGTGGGTGTGGGCTGCTTGAGCTGTGGGCGGGGACGCGGCGAAGTTCAACAGCCAGCAGAAGTAGAAAGAGCCCAGAGGTTGTGCCGTCTCTTGCTCCATTGTACAGGTAGAAAAACGGGGCCTTGTGGGAGGCAGACAGCTGGAGTTGGGGTCATGCACATGCGCGTAGCTGCTTGGCCTTGAGCAGCTTCTTCGGAGCAGCCGGACATGGCTCTCGTGAGACATGGGGACGCTGGCATGCGAGGCGCCGTGGGGATGTGAGATGCTCCTTGTCCTGCCGACGTGGTCGTCACCAGCCGCCTTGGCCCTGGCAGAGCTGAGGTGGAGCCAGGCTCCCCACATCCACACGGCGTCCTTGCCTCTGCCCTTCTCCGTGAGAGAGACCCTGGAACCAGAGTGACGAGGGCTCGCGACACACACTGAACAGGTTCCGTGAGACTGCGTGAGGTGGCGAGTGTTCTGGTTTTACAGAAGAAAAGCCAGCTCTCTGAACTGTGCACAGAGGTGGTCGCACAGGTGATGAGACGCTGGTCTTGCTGGTTCAGAGCACAGGTGAGCTGAGCGTGTGACATGTGTCACACTCCTCCCCGGTTGTGGTGGTGTGCTCCCAGGTGCTGGTTTTCCTGGACCCTCTGCACCTGTACCTTGTGCTGCCCGTGTGGAAACACACAGGTGAAGATGGGATTTAGGTGTGAATCTGCTTAGTTAGGAGGGAGAGTTGTTCAGACAGTAGACTGGACTGGAAAGGGGATAGGTAGCTCGCCAAATCCCCCTGTTGAAGCAGCCGCAAGTGGGAGGGTGGGTTCTTGGGTGCATCTGTCTGTGCGTCTTGGGCAGGTCTGCCTGGGGTAGGGGCACCGTCACCTGCACATGTCCGTTGTGGTCCTTCCTAGTCCTGTCCTGGTCCAGCACCCCATCTGTGGAGCAGCTCCTGACGGGCACTGCACCTTGTCTGGGGACCTAATGGCTGGAAGTAGCTCCCTGCTCACCCACAGTGCTCGTGGGACTGTGTGTGCCCAGCGTGTTCTGTGGGGTCCTCTGCAAAGCTGCTGTGTTGGGGCTGCCGACCTGCTGTCCCCAAGCCATACAGACAGCGTCTGCGCCTGCTCCAGAGTGTGATTGGCGTCAGCTCTTGCTCTCTCTCTGGGGAAAGAGCCAAAGGAACTGCTGTAGCTTCTTTGTTTATTGGGTTATCTCTGCAGCATCCAGTTCCTGAAACTGGCAAAACCATCATCCTCACCACTAGCTTTGACTCCAGCCTCTTTCCAGATGGACGGTTCCCACTGTTGGAACCTTCTGGACTCATCTCTTCCGCTCTGAGGGTTCAGGGAGCACTGTCTGAACCGCCCTTCACTGGAGAGTTCTTGGCCACTTTTGATTGGGGACTTAAAGGGAAAAGAAAAGAAATAGGAGTCAACAGAAGGGGCAGTTCTGCTGTGAAATTCAAGCCACAGCATGTTGAGCTGTCGGAAGGTGTGCTGGGTGCATGGCCATGGGGTGCGTGGCCGTGGCCGTGGGCACGGTGCTGGCAGAGGGCGTGCATCAGCCTGCACAGCAGGGCTCTGCAGTAGAGACAGCGCCGTCTGGCTGGTGGCAAACGAGGGTGCTCGAAGGGGCAAGCTGTGTGCACACCTTCTGCTAAACTGCAGAGCATGAGGATCAGTATTAATCATTGCAGCAGCAGTTCCTGTTAAAATACTGTGTAGTGGCCTCCAGCAAGGCCCTCAACCTCCCTTTGACCTTCTAGTGACCTCTTTTCATGACTGTCGTTCACTCCAGCTGGACGTTTGTCACATATGAGCTTCTATTCTTTTTTTTTTTATCCTCACCTGAGGACATTGTTCCATTTTTTGTACAGATAGAGTGGGAGGGAGAGAGAGGAAGAGAGAGAGAGAGAGAGAAACATCGACGTGAAAGGGACACATCGAGTGGCTGCCACCCACACGACCAACCAGGGCCGGGGACAAACTGCAACCGAAGTACATGCCCTTAGCGGGAACCGAACCCGGGTCTCTCCGGACCGCAGGGCAATGCTCTAACCGCTGAGCCAAACCGGCCAGGGCTGAGCTTCTATTCTACATCTTTTTTTTTTTTTAAACCTCACCCAAGGACATTTTTTTTTTTTTTTGCATTTATCTTCAGATAGAGCGGGAGGGAGAGAGAGAGAAACATCCATGTGAGAGAGACACATTGAGTGGCTGCCACCCACACGACCCCAACCAGGGCTGGGGACAAACTGCAACTGAGGTACGTGCCCTTAGTGGGAACCGAACCTGGGACTCTTCGGTCCGCAGGCTGACGCTTTAACCACTGAGCCAAACTGACCAGGGCTCTGCATCTTTCTAGGTAAAACTTACTGGGGTGACATTGGTCAGGACCATTACACAGGTTCAGTGGCAGGTTCAGTGAGTGACGCAGGCTCAGTGACACAGGTTCAGTGACAAGTTCAGTGACTCAGGTTCAGTGACTCAGGTTCAGTGACACAGGTTGTGACAGGTTCAGTGACAGGATCAGTGACAGGCTCAGTGACACAGGTTCAGTGACTCAGGTTCAGGAGCACAGACGCATGCTGGTGCCACACCCTGAGACAGTCACACAGGAAGACAGTAACATGTCCTTATTGAGAAGAAACCCATGAGGACGTGAAATCAACATGTGTCCTTACAGACATCCTTCTGCATAGAACGCACGCAGGTGTGCGCAGGTCTGTGCATGGAACCGATGTCACTCTTCTGGTTTTGAAACTGTAGCAGGTAAGATGTTAGGATTGAGGGAATCTGTTATTTTGTAACTTCCTGTGTATCATTTCAAAATAAATAAAAAGTTAAAAAAACTCACCATAGCTGCCTACCACACCCCTGAGACTGAAGGACCCAAGATACACCCCAGCCTGACGAGACCTGGGACTCGGACGTGGGCTTTCCGTAGGAGCCTTGCTGGAGGGAAGGGACGTGGAATGGGGTCAGCCCACTAGGGTTGTGTCTTAATGCTACAATTCTCCTATTTTTGGTTCAAAACCTGCCTTCTTTTCAGCTGTTAAACAGCTTTCGGCCCCCAGCCGGTGTGGCTTAGTGGGTTGGGCCATGTGCACCATGAGGTCGCCAGTTCGATTTCCGGTCAGGGCACAGGCCTGGGTTGGCGGCTTGGTCCCCAGTGGGGCGTGTGCAGGAGGCAGCTGGTGGATGTTTCCCTCTCACATCAGTGTTTCTCTCTTCCCCCCTCCTCACTCTAAAACTCAATGAAAATATTTTTTCAAGGAAAGAATGAGTTTTCAGGACAATTTGGGAAGCAGTGCACACGTGTCTTCGCTCAGCCTCAGACGCACTCAGCAATCCCAGTTCACAACGAGCTCCCCAAGGGGTCAGTGTTTCTGTCTCATAAGCAAGGCGACGCTTCACTTGTGAAGGGAGCCCCGTCCCATCTCTGGATTGGCTTCGGGTTTGCGAGCTGCTAGCAGTGCAGGGACATTCCCAGTGGCTGCTGGTGAACCGGAGCCTCAGACCAGCTGGAGCAGGCCACCTCGGGATGGCCCTCGGGATGGGCTCGTGGGGGCCTGCCGGGTGCCAGTGACTAGTGTGGCCCGAGTGGCCAGGAGGGCACTGGTAGTGGCCCAGCAGGATCCCCTCCCCACTGTGGCTGGTTAGGCAGCTGCTTCATCTCGGGACAACAAGAATGTTCCACATCAGGTGGATTTGACCAAAAAAGAGATGCTTCATACTGGAATGAGTCTCTTAATTGGTAGAAAATTATCAACCCTATGAGGTAATAAGCCATTTTATTCGTGAATGGTGTTTGTTTAAAGTGATGTTTTTAATCATTACCACTCAGAACAGCTGTCGTCTCCTCCAGCGTGGGAAGCCTACAAGGGTGCTTCTCGGCTTCTTTTATTTTATTTGCTTATTTTTTTATCCTCACCCGAGGACATTTTTCCATTTTTGTTCAGGTAGAGTGGGAGGGAGAGAGAGGAACAGAGGGGGAGAGAGAGAGAGAAACATCGATGTGAAAGGGACACATCGAGTGGCTGCCACCCGCACGACCGACCAGGGCCGGGGACAAACTGCAACAGAGGTACATGCCCTTAGCGGGGACCGATCCGGGTCTCTCTGGACCCCAGGCCGACGCTCTAACCACTGAGCCAAACCGGCCAGGGCAGCTTCTCGGCTTCTTTTAAAGAAGTTTCCGGAGCAGAGTGCACCCCAGAGACTGCTGAGGGCTCCACTCTGGGGGGGGGCGTGCACCCCAGAGACTGCTGAGGGCTCCACTCTGGGGGGGGCGTGCACCCCAGAGACTGCTGAGGGCTCCACTCTGCATGGGGGGTGCACCCCAGAGACTGCCAAGGGCTCCACTCTGGGGGGCATGGGCGTGCACCCCAGAGACTGCCAAGGGCTCCACTCTACGTGGGGGGTGCACCCCAGAGACTGCTAAGGGCTCCACTCTGGGGGGCGTGGGCGTGCACCCCAGAGACTGCTAAGGGCTCCACTCTGTGTGTGGGGGGGCACGGCGTGCACCCCAGAGACTGCCGAGGGCTCCACTCTGTGGGGGGGGGCTGCTCTGGTCTGCAGCTTGCAGGGTGTCTGAGCAGAGCAGCCTGGGCTAGAGGTCCGGTGTGTGACGGTGGGTGAGGAGACTCCCTCAGGTCACCTGCCTCCACACCTTATCCCTAGAGCCGCCACAGTTGTGTTGCGAGTGTCTGTCCTGAGTGGAGTCAGCCGGCCCGGAGGCGCAGGGTTTCTGTCCCCCACAGTGTGGGCTGCTCTTGACCATCTCTCTTTGTCCGGCCTCCACAGCTCGATCACATCGACCCCAGAGCCGTGCAGCTGGGCTCCCTCCTGGTCCGAGGCCTGACCATGCTGGTGCTGGTCAACAGCGCGTGCGGCTTCCCCTGGAGGACCAGTGACTTCATGCCCTGGAACGTCTTTGACGGGAAGCTGTTCCACGAGAAGTACCTGCAGTCTGAGAGGGGGCTCAGCGCCGAGGCTCTGGTGGAGCAGAACGTGAGTGCCCAGCCGTTCACCCGCGGGCAGGGAGTGGGTTTGCACCAGGGGCCGCGAACACTCAGGCCGAGCACTGGTCCCTCATGGCACTTCTCAGAGGACAGGCGTGTTCCAGAAGCGCCGTTGGGCCTGCTGCTGGAGCCACTGGCTCGGGGCCTAAGTCTGCAGGGCCAGCGTATCTTCCAGCTTCCGCCAAACCCTCCCCAGGCCCCGGACCCGACATCTGCAGTGGGCCAGCCAGCAGCGTCCTGCCAGCCCCAGCTGGCCTGGTTCTCAGGTGCCGCCCCCCCCCCCCCCCCCACCGTGAGGACGTGCAGACGCAGCTCGGCTGGCATCAGGTGTCAGGATGACTCCACAGGGTGGGGACGTCCGTTACTTGAAAATAGTTCTGAGGCTGCAGTTCAGTCGGGGACATTGGCTGTTGTCCGGCTTCACGAGTGCAGCTGCTACGCGATTCTTGGGAGATTTCCAGGCGAGGACTCGGCCCAGCTCCCTGGGGTCTGCTGTCCATGAGCACGTGCAGAGGCCCTGGCCTAGTGGGTGTGCCCTGAGCTCCCGCGTCAGAGGGCATCCGGTGCTTGTCGCAGAGTCAGTTCCCACGTGCACCGGGCGTCGCGGAAATTTGCACTCAGGACTCAGGAGCTGCCAGAGTCCCGTGCAGAGCCCGTGAGCAGGACAGGCGGGAACGGGCTGCTCCATCTGCCCTGGTTTCCAGGAGAGGGCGAGAGGCAGACGCTGTGGGTCATGGGTCGCGGATCCCTTTCTCTCCCTAGTGTCTTGACTACGTCCAGAGCCGACTGTGAGTGACTGTGAGCTCACCTGGTGGAACAGGCAGGCAGGATGGGCTGCTTGGTCAGGCAGAGCGGGGAGCCCGAGTGTCCACCCTGCCTGCTGCTCACACATGTGAAGTTACAGCGTGCTCACCGGCAGTTCCAGGCTCTGTGCAGTGACCCCGGTGTCACCGCCCAGCATGGAGGGTTTAGAAGTGACAGTGTGACCTGCAGAAGACACAGCTGCTAGTGTTACTGTCCGGGACTCGGGGAGCCAGTCAGGTGACGGCTGACGGCCGCCCTCCAGAGCCCGAGGGGACTGTCCCCGTCGCCTCTCCAGGTGCCTGCCGTGTCTGATCCTGGTCTGTTTGCAGAGGTCGTGGCTCACCAGGTTCCACCAGCTGAAGTCCGTCGTGTGCAAGGCCTGCCTGCGGGAGGACAGGCGTGTGGTCAGCAGGCGGCTGCGGCAGCCGCACCACTCAGGTAGGTGTGGGGCTCGGGCAGGCTGGAGAACAAAGTGGAAGCGATTGGTTGCCACCTGGCTGCTCAGATGTGGGCTCCAGCAGGAGAGACACTCGAGGGCTCCGCAGTGGTTGCTCATCAGGAGCTACTCTGGGCGCAGGGCCACTTCCCGGGGCCCCGCACACAGGCCCTGTGGGCTGATGTTTGTGGTGGACGTGGTTTGTCGTTTCTCACGATGAACATGTGTTAACAACCGGGAACACAGAGAGTAATTAAACAGGAAATGTAAATGCCTTTCGTTCTGCAACCTAAAGATGACTGGGCGGGTACGCACTCTGCAGTGCCTGTGTCCACTGTCCCAGGTAGCGCTGAGCTCAGCGTGAGCCGTGAGCACGGTCAGGACACAGAGCAGCCGAAACACTGCCCCGCCCCCCCCCCCCCCCCCCCCGGCCCTTGTTCACTTCAAGGTCCCCACCTTGAGCTCTGAGGTTGCTCTCTTTTTCTCGTTATACATACTGCTTTTATGTATGTCATTTCTTCAGATTAGAGTACAGTAGTTCACAGAATCATAGATCGAAATGTAACCGGATCTGGATACATGTTACCAGTTTGTTTTCTAAACAGCTTGAATCACGTGACACCTGCACCAGCAGGGCTGGAGAGCCCTGTCTCAGGCACCTCCCCAGCCCTGGCTGACTGACTGGCCGTGGGTGGCAGGGTGTGCGCCGTATCTGGGGCTCCTGGTCCACCAGTGACAGTGGCACCTTGCTCACCGCTGACTCTGTCAGCGAGATGCTTTCGTTATTTCATGGCCTCATTTGGTTGGAATCCACACCTGTGACTATGGCAGCCCCTTTTGCTTTCTTGGTGGTTAAGAGAGTTCACCCCGCCTCCTCCCCACTGGGCTGTCCCCAGCTCTGCCTGGTGTCCGTCTTGCACATGTTACTCCACCTTCATGTTATGAGGTCAGGTCCTGCCAGGTGCCCATGTGGATCTGACTGCAGGGCAGCACCTGGGGCGAGGACAGGGCCAGGCTCCCTCCTCACCCTGCCCTGAGCGCTGGGACCTCCCTCCTGCGGCAGGCAGACTGTGAGACCCAAGCACAGCTTCACTCGGCACAGGGCAGCAGGGCTCCACCCCCAGTGAGGTGGCCGGGAACTTGCAGTTGGTGGGCGCAAGCTGTCCCTTGGAGCCCACACCTGAGCCTCCCGCTGCGTTCCGGCGACTCGAGGACGGTGCGTGGTAGTTGGTTCAGACGGCCTGTGGCTTCCTGCTGCAGCTCAGTCGCTTCCAGTCCTCACAGGAAGTCTGACTCGATCACTTCCTAACGAATGCGCGTACCCAGGGGCAGGCTGGGTGTTCTGTCGTGTTCTCCACGTTACTCAGCAGAACCAGACACACGAGTCCCTTTAGAACCTGTGGACACTGGGCCTTTTGTCCTCAGTCATTAGCCTCTGCACAGACCCAGTTCGAGGTCCTGTGTGTGCTCCCGTCACTTTGCAGGAGGAAGCACAGGCCCCTTGTGACTCCCGTCCCCAGCAGGTCTGGAGGGAGCCCTCGGGTCTCTGCTCTCCACAGCCACCCTGCGCCCACGTCTCCACACGGCAGTCTGGACGACCCTCCTGGGCACAGGGCTGCACAGCTGCCCACTCCCACGGCCTGCCTGCCCCAGCTGCCCCTGAGCCGGGGACCAGGTGCTGTGCCCCTGGGGACTTGCTGCTCACCTCTGTCCTGAGTCTCTGAGCTCACCCGCTCGGGCTTGGATGCCGAGGTCCCGTCGGGCAGGGAGCTGGGCGATGAGTTTCAGTGGGTCCAGGTGCAGTAGGAGCTTCACTGGACTCCAGACAGCTAGTGTGGAGGGACTGGTGGGTCACCACACTTGACCGTGGAGATTTCAGTGGAGAAAGTGGCACTTGAGTGAAGCCTTGGGGCTCAGTGTAATTTGAGTGTGTGGTGGATGAAGGGACATTGCAAAGGAAGAAAGAGCTTAAGCTGCAGCAGAAAAGTCTACTTTCTGAAAAGCTGTGGTCAGATTTGTGTGAATCTAATGGGAACAGGAGGAAAAGCTGGGGGGTAAGTAGGAACAAGACTGGGAGACTAGTCAGTGTTGATATGATTACCCACAGCAAGGTGGGGGGCCGTGGAGGGTTTTTGAAGGGACAAGATCAGAGCCCTGCTTTCAGGGAGCAGCTCTGCTGACTGCAGGGACACCGGGCTTGAGGGGGGGCGGGAGGCTCCCTCTGCTGACTGCAGGGACACTGGGCTTGAGATGGGGGGGGCTCCCTCTGCTGACTGCAGGGACACTGGGCTTGAGATGGGGGGGGCTCCCTCTGCTGACTGCAGGGACACTGGGCTTGAGATGGGGGTGGGGGGCTCCCTCTGCTGACTGCAGGGACACTGGTCTTGAGATGGGGGGGGCTCCCTCTGCTGACTGCAGGGACACCGGGCCTGAGATGGGGGTGGGGGGGGGCTCCCTCTGCTGACTGCAGGGATGCTGGGCCCAAGGTGGGGGACGGGGCTCGCCCAGGGGAGGAAGGAGGGTTGTGTGGTCAGTCCTGGTGGCAGTGCAGGGGGAGCCAGGAGTCACACATCTGCATACTTCACATGTACCTGTGCGTACTGCCCACACACACTGCACACGTGTGTCCACACTGCACGCGTATATGTTCACACTGCACACATGTATATATTTATACTTTCACACTGCACACCTGCACATATGTATATATTTATACCTGTACACGTGTGTATATCCACACTGTACACCTATATTCACACTGCACACCTGTGTGTTCACACTGCACATTGTGTATTCACACTGCACACCTGTATCTGTTCACACTGCATACCTGTATGTTTACACTGCACATATATATTCGCACTTCACACGTGTATATGCTCACCCTGCACACGTGTATGTGTTCGCACTGCACACGTGTTCACAGTGCACACGTGTATATGTTCACACTGTGTGTTTACAATGCACACCTGTATGTGTTCACCCTGCACGTGTGTATGTTCACGCTGCACACATATGTGTTCACGCTGCACACCTGTATGTGTTCACGCTGCACACCTGTATGTATTGACACTGCACACCTGTATTTGTTCACGCTGCACACCTGCACCTGCACACACCAGGCCTCACCGTCTCATGGGAGTGGAGCCCATGTGCCAGAGCATGCTCTGTGCATTGCAGGCTCCCGCTGCGGCCGGGCAGGAGTGTGCGCCCGAGGCAGGACCTCCCTCTGTGTGGAGCCCGCTCACTGTACCGGGCACTTCCTTTCTCTGTGGGTCACCATGAAGCATCAAGGTGGTTTTTAAAGTGCATGCAAGTGAGACCTAGTCGGACCTTCTGTGTTAAACCCTAATCCTCACCCGTGGTGGAGGTGGCAGGGCCAGGAGCTGAGAGGGAGTTTGTAGTGAGAACGCATGTGTGCAGTCAGCTGGTGGAGGTGGGTCTGGCACACGAAGTCCCTGCACACTGGTGGCAGGTGTGCTGGTCAGGAAGCTGGCCCCAGGGAGGCAGAGTCCATCAGACTGACCGTGGAGGGCCCTGCCTGGACGGGGACCTCACAGAACACCCGTGTCCTCAGGCTGCTTCCCGCCACCGAGGCAAGGCCCCCCACCACCACCACCCGCCACCGGCACTGGGCCCTGTGTCTGCATTTTCATGGCTCCCCTTTGATGTTGGAGACACCAGATGTCTGAAAACTGCCGACCCTTGCTGCAGGCTCACACGTGCCATGCCGTGGTGTAGTTTGCTAACATGCCGATGTGTCCCCGCAGGGCGGTGGGGAAGACAGGGATCCGGCTCCCACAGGACCAGCTCCGGGCACAGTCGCTCAGGCCCAGGACAGCACTGGAGAGACCAGGGCCCAGGTAAGAGGGCGCTGCCCACGTGGTCTCGGTCAGCATGGATATTCTTGGGGCGGCTCTCTTGCTTTAGAAGAGGTTGTGATTTCCCAGGGAGTGGACAGGACGCAGTGATGTCTCTGAGTTCGTTGCTGGTTCATCTCTCCTCCTGCTCACTGTTTTCTGTCAGTCATTCATCTGTTCAAGGCCCAGCTTCTACAACCACTCAAAGGGAGGCGCTCGTTAAGGTCACACACGTCCTTCTAACGGAACAGGCTCAAGCAGTGTGCTGTCCAGCGAGAGTGGCGTGTTGATGGCTTCATGACTGGCTGTGCCCACAGAGCCCCCCAGGACCCGGGAGGGACAGGAGCCATGCCCTCAGCCCCGTGCACAGGAGACCTCGTCCGTGGTTAGATTCAGACTCCTTGGTTTCAAGGGCCAAACTAGACTTTTGACCCAAGACTTACTACTTTATCCTTTCAGATACAAAACACCTGTAATATAATGTGATTTATTATTTCTCACCCTTGCCCCCCAAATGTGCAGAGGCCTCACAAATGAGACACGACCCCTGAGCCGTCCCTGCCATGAGGGGCCCACTCCGCATACCTGTTTGCCATGTGCAGGTCACGTGTCGTCGTGAGCCCGGATGCGCCAGCCCCCCAGGGCTCGGCCGTGTGGGCCCTGCAGCCATGGACACTCGGCATCGGATGGGCCCCTGCAGCTGGGCGGTGGAGCTGCCTGGGGACAGTGCTGAATTTCTAGCTCTAAGGTGACAGGCCTTCCCCGGTGCACAGGGTGCAGGTGCTTCTGAGAGAAAGGACCTGGACCAGCGCCCGTGGCCAGCCAGGGGGAGCTCGTGTCCTCCCTTCTCCGCTGTTTTAAGCCCAGGTCCCGAGAAGGTTCCCTGACCGGGTGTGCCAGCTGGGGACAGAGGAGGGGTCTCCCCCAGTGACGCCGTGTCGGCATCAGGCGCGGCACGAGCAGCCACGCTGGGGGCAGGTGTGTCCTCAGTTGGCGCTCAGAGCGTGCCTTTGGTGGGGCTGTGCTGGGGTGGTCTACCCGGTGCCAGACCCGTCGGAGTAGACGTGTGTGGACCTAGGAGCAGAGCTCGGCCTGTTTTCTCTGTTTGAGCCCAGGACCTCGCACACCTCATCACCTTGCAGTCAAGGGGTCAGGCGGCCCAGGCCCTGGCCCTATGGCTGAGGCTCAGAATGCACCTGCTTTCCCCGGACAGCAGAGCCCGAGTGCTGGAAACCCAGTGGCCGCCCCGCGGGCAGCCTGGTGTGCAGGCTGTGTCCTTCCCTCCAGAACTCACGTGTGTGTCCTCTGAGGGACCTCTTCCGCTAGGTGTCCCCACGTGGCCAGTGTGGCAGGCAATGGTGAGCTTGGCTTGAGCTCATTCGTTTTCCTCCCCGCTGGGTCTTAGGAAGTCAGGGAAGACCGATAGCGGCAAGTTCGGGTGGTGAGGGCTGCAGGTGGGGGCCGGGCATGGGCTGGAGAGGCCGTGAGTTCGGTGTGGCCGACACCCTCTGGGCACAGGCCTGTGGTGAAGCCCACGGGTCTCCCTTGACTTTGCCAGCCCCGCAGTGGGCGTCCAGCCTCGGGGGCTGTTCTGTGATTCACTCTTTCATGATGGAGAAGAATGAGAACAGCCCTAGCCGCTTTGGCTCAGAAGTCAGAACGTTAGCCCGCAGACCAGGAGTTGCAGGTTTGGTTCCGGTCAAGGGCACGTAGCTTGGTTTCAGTTTGGTCTCCGGCCCTGGTTGGGTCGTGCGGGAGGGCACCAGTCACTGTCTCTCACATCACGTTTATCTCTATCCCTTTCTCTCCTCCTCCCACCCTATATCTGAAGATAAATAGGAAAATATCCTCAGGTAGGGATTAAAAGAATAAATGTGTACATAACAAAGCAGACAGCTAGAGCCTGACTGTGTGGCCTGTCACCCTGACCATCAGCTGCACCCCGCAGAGGCCATCCTGTGAACACCAGGGGGACGCTGTGAGTGTGGGCTGTCTCGTGGGACAGAGATGGCAGGCGGGCTCACATGGGAGGAGGGCACCTCTTCTTGTAAACAAAGAGGCTTCTTCGAGATCTGTGTCTGGAAAGTTCTGGTTCTCATGTCGATGAAAAGTGGACGAGCAGCCCGGCCGGTGTGGCTCAGTGGACTGAGCGTCGCCCATGAGAGGTCCCGGTTGGGCGCATGCCTGGGCTGCGGGCTCGATCCCCGGTGCAGGGCGTGCGGGAGGCAGCCGATCCGTGTTTCTCTCTCACATCGATGTTTCTAGGTTTTTCTCCCTTCCTTTCTCTCTAAAAAAGCAATAAAAACACACTTCAGAAAGGCAGACGAGCAGACATTCAGCCCAGTTCCTGCCAGGGAAGCTTGTTGCCGCTGTGGTGCGGCGCCTGCGGGTCCCTCCCTGACAGGCGGCTTCAGACACCCAGATGCCACGGGCCCTTGTTCCCACGCACTGCTCCGTGGGTCTCTCCTCGGGTGAGGAGGTCGGGCTGAGACCGTGGGTGGAGGTGGGAGGAGAGCTGAGCTGTGAGCCAGTCGGAGGAGCAGCAGCGCCCTGGGGACTGAGGAGGACTGGGGGGACCTGAGGGGCCGGGCGGGCGGGGGCCGGCCCTCTGCTCTGGCGGCTGGGCTGAGGGGACCAGTCAGTCTGTGGCAGGACCATCTTCTCTGACCTCTGCCCCCGGAGCTGGTGCGAGCTCCCTGTGGGAGGGGCTGTGGTGGAGGGAGGGGCCGCCCTGGTGCCAGCGAGCTGTCTGCTGCGCCCTGTCCCCGACCCAGTGCGTCTCGGCACAGCGGTGTGCACAGCCAGGGCCTGGTGGACGCCGGCTCTCCATCCTGACCTGGTGACGGTCCCCCTCCAGCTCTGGCCCCTGCCACACCGCCCCAACGCCCGTGTGCAGCGCCAGGGCCCTCCAGACTGTGTGCACGTCAGGACCTGGGCACACACCCCTGGAAGCAAGGAGCCAGTGGCTCCAGGGAATCAGGGTGGAGACTGTCCCGTGTCCTTCACGGGTCGTGTCGGGGCCAGAACGCTGGCGGGGGCGACCTCGGTGACAGTGGAGCTGAGGATCTGCGCGTGGAGGGAGTGTCTGGGCGGTGAGTGCGGGTGCGGGCTTGCCCCGGTGACCCCGCAAGGGCGGGCTGCTGTGTGCGCCCACCCCCTCTGCAGAAGTGCTCGCTGGGTTGAGCACGTGTTTCCCAAGCACACAGTCGTGTGTTGTGACTGGAACACGTTTTTTCAGGTCAGGTAACCCACCCTGTTACTTTTAATTGCCACGATTGGATTATGTCCTCTTGGCTTGGCCAGCACATTTTTTCCTGGGTTTGTCTCCCTTTGGCGACAAAGTTGGGAAGTCCCGGGGTGGGGGTGAGGACCTGCAGTGGGGAGACCTCTGCTCCGGCTCTTCCTTCCTGGGAAGCACTTTGCTGGACCTGGGCGGGGAGCAGGGAGCTGGGGCATCAAAGCTGCAGGCGTCCTTGGTGGCGGGAAATGAGGTGTGAAATTCCACAGTCAGTAGCTACCAACTGGCCTGTGATTTCTCCAGATTCTCACTTCCCTGGGGTGATTCTGTGGGAGGCTGGCCGGTTGTAAGCGCCTCTGATCACCTGTAATAACAAGGGTGGGGCCAGGGTCCTGGGAGCCTCACACTCGGGAGAGGTGTGAGCATCAAAGACCCCACTGCCCCCCGGAGGGCGGGTGTCATCCCGGCAGAAGCTGACAGATTTAGTGGGAAAAGTATGATCTGTCGAAGGAATCACCTCTTTCACGTGTCGGGTGGCCCTGTCTGGGGGAAGGCACCAGGCCCGGACAGGAGCCCCGGTTCAGCTGCAGAGAGGGCCCCGCGGTGCCTCTTCAGTACTTGGCAGCATGTCCCTGTGGGCTGTCCGCCCGGGACGCTCCCTCCCAGGCTCCCTTGGCAGCATGGCTGCCGGGCAGGCAGACACGGCCCCTCCTGCTCCCTGTGCTGCCCGAGGAATCGCTTCCTGCTGCTGCACTGTTGAGGGCGGAAGTCCAGGGCCAGGGCCACGCGGGAGCAGCGCCGCAGGCAGCTCGGCAGGTGGTCTGGTGCGGGCTGAGGGGTGCGCAGTTTCTCCTGTGTGGGCTCAGGCTCATTCTCAGTGGTGGCTCTGCTTCTCGTTTGGTACAGGAAACAGACAGCACGAGTCCGACCCGTGGAGGAGACACGCGTCGTCCTCTGGGTGAGTCACCGCTTACACGTCGGGGAGTCTGCTTCCCCAGAGGCGAAGGGAAACATGTCTTTATAACAAGACGTCCATGTCAAGGGCCAGATGTTAGGTCCTGCCGGCCTGCACCTAAATTAGCTTGGTTTTAAGGAAAGTGTTTTCTCCAGAAAAAGTGTGGGGAGAGCAGATGACGAGTCAGGACTTGAAACCGTGTCACCCTCCTTCGGCCATCAGACCACACGCCGCCCTGCAGGCCTTGCTGTCAGTCAAGAGAACATCCTTCTCACGCCCAGCTTGAAGGGGTGGCGCTGGCACAGTCCTGAGCATCTCCCCCGGGTCCTGTGCACCCTCAGTTCCCAGCTCAGTCATGTCTCCAGCTCGAGCGTCTGTCCTCAGAAGTGTTTGTGCAGAAGCAGCAGCAGCCTCTCCCTCCCTTACCGGGGAGAGTTAGGTGGGAGTCGGGGAGGTTCTGCCTTGGGTCACGCCCAGGGTGGCCCCTGGGTCCCTGTCACTGTTTGCCGGGTCCAGCCCCGTCTGTGCTGCAGCTCAGGCCTGGGGCCCCAGCCCGGCACCAGGCACAGGCAGGAAGCCTTGAAGGGAGAGAAGCAGAGTCGGGTCAGCCTGACCTGTGTCCCGAGCAGTGCGTCTGCAGCTTCAGACACAGCGATGTGAGTCCTGAGCAGCCCTCTGTGTGGAGGGACCTCCACAGCCCAAGAGCTGATGTTCGCCCAGCAGCCTCCGGAGGGCTGGTGGTCAGAGTGAGGTCAGGCGCCTCACGGCAGCCGGGCTTCTCCGGGTCCTCCTTCCAACAGAGCACCCTCTGCAGAGTCGGCGCCCAGCTGGTGCACTTTGGGGTGCCCCTGCCCTGCCGCACGGGGCTGCACAGCTCCAGGCTCTTTCTGTCCTGAGCCCTGTCTGGCTGCTGCCGGGACAGGTGCAGACTGCAGGTGGCTCACTGTGGTGTTTCTCCGTGTGAGACGGCCCACGGCCTCCTGCGGGTCCCTGGTCGTGCGTGTCTGGGGGACCACAGCCTCATTCCCAGCTCTGGAAACGGGCCTTTCAGTCCCTCTCAGGAACGTGTTCCGTCCGAGTCCTGACATTCTGTCCCTTCAGTTCTGCTCATTGAGACCACGGCTGCTCCGGACAGTTTCCAGTGTTGAAGTGATGTTCTTGTCCCGTAGGCTGTGTGTGACCCCGGGACAGTCGTTTTCCTCATGGCTTTCAGCTGCGGGTTGTAGTACGACCCTCTCCAGTTACCAGCTCAGCTGTGCCTCTGAGGGGGTGAAAGCCAACGCCGCCTCCCAAGTCCTGTCTGCAGTCAGCCCTCCGTGAAGTCCCATGGACCAGTCTTACAGTGAAAGTACGACAGTGTGCTTGTTGCTCAGAATTAGATACGACTTCACATTTCTCTGATCGTTTAGAGCCCATGTCACCACCCAGGACGCCGGGTCTCTGAGGAGGAGTTGAGTTCGTCACCTGCTGACTCCACCTGTGCCGAGACGCCGCGCGTGTCCCGCCGCGTGGCCGCAGGGTCGGCCCTGGGCCCTGGGCCCTGGCCCGAGCTGTGCTGCTCCCTGGGTGTGCCCATGTTTTCTGGGGGTTCCTGCGCGTGTTTGTCGGGGGTATTGGCCTGTGATGTCCTTTTCACCGTGACCTTGTCTGGTCCGGGGGCCACTGGCCTCGGAAAAGGGTTGGAGAAGGTAGAACTCACCACTGAAGCCGTCTGGGCCTGGACTTGTGTTTCCGGAGGTTCTGACGACTTCAGTCTCCTTTCTCACTGATTCGCCTGTTTGGAATTTCTGTCCCGTCGTGAGTCCTGGCAGGTTCGTGTTTCAAGGAGTGTGTCCATCTCTGCCAGCCCAGTGCGGTGTGGAGGGCGCGGCGTCTCTGCGTTAGTTGTGATGTCTGCTCTGTTTGTCGTTTTATTTACTTGAGTCATCTCTCTTTGTCTCTTGGTTAGTTTTGTCAGTTTTATTTATCTCTTCAAAAAAACCAACTTAGTTTTGTTGATCTTTTGTTATTGTTTCTTGTCTGTATATCATTTATTTCTGCTCCTGCCTGTGCTCTCTTTGGGCTTCAGTCTGCTGTTTCTACTCCCGAGAGTGCCAGGTCAGGCTGTTTGAGACCATTCCTTTCCCTTCGTGTGGGCCCTGGTCGCTGCGAACTTCCTTCTAGAGCTGCGCCCTGTAGGTTTGTGGGTTATATCTGTGCTTGTTTGTCTAAACATACTTTTTATTTCTTCCTTGACCCCTTGGCTGGTCAAGCGTGTGCGGTTTTACTTGCGCTGACCTGGGAAGTTTCCATCCACTGGTTCAGAACTTTGCTGCTGTGACCCAGTCTCACGTCCGGAGCACTGTCGCCCAAGGAGCGGCTGCCTCTGCGGGCGGGGTGCGTCCGTCCGTCTGTGACCCAGTCTCACGCCCGGAGCGCTGTGCTCGAGGAGCGGCTGCCTCTACGGGCAGGGTGCGTCCGTCCGTCTGCGAGCCGTGTCCCCTTGCTGATGCGCAGGCTGGACATCGGCCCGTCACTGCGATCAGGGCGTTAAAGTTCTCTGCTGTTACATTGTTTTCTGTTTCTCTGTTCAGTTCTTTAAATATGTTCTTTATATATTGACAAAATTCAACATCCCTTCGTGGTAAAACTCACCAAATTAGGTGTAGAAGGAACACACCTCAGCACAGTCAGAGCCTCGTGAAACCCGGTGCTCACGTCTCCTGCAGCGACGGCAGGAACCTCCTGTGAGTCAGGCCCGAGCAGGTGCCGGCTCCCCATCTGCCCAGCACGCCCGGCCCGGCCAGCCTGAGCCCTCGGCAGTAGAGGAAGTGGAAGGCGTTCGGGTCTCGGAGAGGGTGACATCTGCTTGCAGATGACATGATCTCATGTAGAGAAAACCCTAGACGCCTCCAAAGTGTCAGAACCACTGAAAGAATTCCGTGGAGCCGTAGGATACAAACCAACTCTCTTTAAAAATAAGTTAAGAAAGCAACCCTATTTACAATCGCATCAAAAAGAATAAAATACTTAGAAATTAATGTAACCAAGGCAGGGAAGGATCAGGAGACTGAAAACTATAAAACATGGATTTAAAAAGTTGAAGAAGATACAAATAGATGGGCAGATGGGTAGAAGAATTAATGTTGTTAAACTGTCCACACTGCCCAAAGCAATCTACCGATTCAGTGCAATTCCTGTCAGAACTCCAGCGGCACTTTGCACAGAAACAGAACCAAAAAGGCTACGGTGCTGAAATGTACAATAGTTGAAATGAGAAATTCATGGGAGGGGCTGTGACAGGGTTCAGCAGGCGGAGAAAAATTACACAAACTCGAAGATGGGACTTTTGAAGTTAGTGAACCAGAAAAACAAAAACTGAAGAATGAAGAGAAGTGAGCAGAGCCTCGGGGACCTGTGTGCCGCACACGCTGTCCCTCAGCGAGGAGAAGGGGGAGAGTGTTTCCAGCAACAACGGCTGAGAGCTTCCACGATCGGATGGAGAGTGAACCTGCATCTCCAAGGTCACGGGCTCCGGTGAGGACGCAGCACAGGACACGCAGTCGGGCCGGCGCCGGCCGGGGGCGAGGTCCTGGGCCAGGGCCAGAGCAGTGGCATCGGCTGCAAGAGCCCATTGCCTTACGGGCGTCTCGTCGGGAATCTCAAGACTGAGGGCGTCTCCGGCCTGTGAAGAGCAAGGATGGGGGGGGGGTGCTGCTGTCCCGGGGGCCCCACCAGCTCCCAGAGCCCAGTGCCCAGCACCGAGCACAGGTGCGCCGGGGCCCCCACCTCCCACGTCCGCGATGTTCTCCCTTCACTTCCCTGCGCTCCTCTGTCTGCGGGTGAGACCCCCCACTTTGTGTCTTGTCCCCCCACTTTGTGTCTTGTCCCCCACTTTGTGGGAAATGTCCTCGGTCTCATCTTCACTTGTTTTTTCTGTTCTCCAGTCTCTATCCTTCGATCCTGAGCGCTCAGGTCTCCTTCACAGCGTAGCATTCGGGTTCGTGACCCAGCCCCTTCCTGCGGCAGTGAGCTCATTGCACCAGTGGTCTTTGTTTTCTTCTTCATCGACTATCTTCCGAGCCCCCCCCCCCCGTGTGTGTGGGGGGGTCCTTGTTTCTGTTTCGGATTTTTCTCAAATGCCTGGCACCTCTCGAGCGCCCGCTCATGTTGGAAAGTCAGGCTCTGGAAAGGGACTGGACACCTGTGCAGGGCTGTGTCGCGTGGCGGGTCCCTGCAGCCTCCGCTCTGCACCTCGGGGTCAGCATCCTGGACGGGTCGGCACAGGGCAGGGGCACTTAGGAAGAGCCGAGACAACGCCGCTGGGCTGTGGGAGGCCAGAGAGGTGCCCCACAGTGACCCCAGGCTCTGACTGCATCGCTGCGATTTCAGTGCCACTGACTGGGGGGATGCGAGGGAAGGAGGGAATGGAGACCAGCGGTCACCCTGGTGCGTGGGAGTGAGGTGCCCATGCCCTCTGGCTGAATTGGAGTCAGATGGAAACTAGGGTTCAGGTTTTGCTCTGCTGCCCGCTCTGGGTGTGGTCTCGGGCTGCACCTCTGGCCTCTCTGCTCCCCACTTTCTCAGGGAAGACAGTGCTGTCTCCCCGAGCAGGCCGGGAGGAGAATCTATATAGATGCGGCGTCTGCGGACACACGGGAAGCACACGCTCCATCTCACCCCCAGGGCTGGCTGCTGTTAGGCGTCCAGGAAAGTGGCTGCGGGTCACAGCAGGAGCTTGGCAGCGTAGACGCTGGCGCCAGAGCCTCGACTGAGGGTGGGAGGAGAGGGCGGGGGGCTCTTCAGAAGGGCAGCGGCTTCCTCTCTCTCCAAGGGGTTAACCTCCAGGTACGGACGACACTGGGCACCAAGCGTGTGTCGGCCCAGATGAGCACCTGTGAGTGAGGCCAGATCAGTGAGCTCGGCTGGAGACGTGACCTTTGGGTCAGCAAGTGGGTCAGTGCTGATGGTCACAGCAGTGCACTCGGTGAGGGGACCTGGGGGCAGGGCCTCAGCTCCTGCCGGAGTCAGGCAGCAGGTACTCACGGGAATTGTTCTCCAGCTTCTGGTCCAGATCCTCGGATTGCTGCTGGGTGTGCACACACACGCACCTACACACACACACAGCCCTACACTCACATATAAGACACAACCATACACACACAGCACACACACCGACACACACACCACAACCACATAGCTACACACATACAACCATTCATACACCAACCCACACTCACGTAAGCACACGACACACACCCCACACTTACATCTGCGCGCACACACCCTAGGCTGCATCCTGTCAGGGAGCTGCAGCTGACAGACCCCTCGCTTCCTCAAAAGCCCCTCCACTTGGGGACGCGTCCTCCTCGGGGCAGCGGGAGGAGTGACCCTCCCTGTCCCAGGCTGACTCCCATGGCCGCCCACTTGTGTTCCAGGTGGTCCACCTGATGCGTCTGCAGAACAGCCAGGACCCTTTCACAGCTGGAGAAATTCGTGTAACACTGGGATGTGGAATGTGGATCCTCACATCTGTTCGTGGACCGTCAGACACAATAAAACACGTCTTTCTCGCATCACCCCTGGGCACAGGTGTGATGGAACTGGGCGTGATGTGTGTTTTTCTCGCATCACCCCTGGGCACGGGCGTGATGGAACTGGGCGTGATGTGTGTTTTTCTCGCATCACCCCTGGGCACGGGTGTGGTAGAACTGGGCGTGATGTGTGTCTTCACTTCCCCCTGCGGACAGTGGTCGGAGGAGGGTGCTCGTGAGACACTGTTGTCGCCCACGGCGTCCCTGCAGCTTCACCCACAGAGGAGCTGTCCTCGAAGAGATGGTTGTGAGTGTGGAGACACCGTGGGGATGTGTTTTGGGGGGAGAAGGGAGACACCCTCCGGTGTGGGCCCCAGGGCTGGGCAGTCATCACAGCTCCTGGTCTGATGAGCTTGGAGAGAAACCCGCAGCCACGTGGGGGCCACCAACACGCGTGTCTGCTGTCAGCGGGTCTCGAACTCATCACACTGAGGCTGAAATGTGACCACACAACTCACTCCTTCAGTGCAGCCAAGTCCCTGGCAGAAGGGCCCTTGTCAGGCTACGGTGCAGACGGCTCCTCTGGTTGGATCCCTCGTTTAAATGTGTCGGAATGTCGCTGGTCACAAGGGCAGAGTTTTCTGTGGGTGGGTGGGGACCCCTGGTTTGTGGCCACCGCTTCGCTCAGACCACATTCAAGGTGACACGGCCCACAAGGGGCCACACGTCACCTGCCTTACTCTGCACAGACACCCCGACTGGGGTTGGGTCTCCCCTTTGTTGTGACGAGGTCTGCGGTGCACATAGTCTGGGGTGCAGTGC